TTAAACAATTTGAATTTTAACGTAAGGTAGATATTTTAAGTAGATAATCTTTCTATTCAATTTAACTCTTGTTATTATCAGTGAAAAGATTTCTCTAAAACAAATATTTTCGTAGGAAAATTTTAATAAACCGCGCCGTGCCGGGCTCGGTAAGACATTTGATTTCTATGTTTGTGAAATTTATTTCACGTTTAGTTTAAATCTAAAGCAAATATTACTAGAAAAAATCCCACGCATACCTTTAGTACGAGTTTTACAATTACGAAAACTATGATAGTTTTCGTGAGTTCGTACTCGTACTAAGGGTACTGATTTTATTGTTTACGTTTAAATACAAATAAACAGTGTTTAAATTCTATCATTAAATCATTCGCGTCTTCTTAAATTTTAAGTTTTTGTTTTATGGTTACTTTTCACCAAAATGGAAAAAGAAACATAATTTACAATTACGAAAACTATGATAGTTTTCGTAATTGTAAAACTATAATAGTTTTCGTGAGCTCAAAATCGTACTAAGGGTACAGACAGCAGACGGGACTCGAAACCTTAATTCACTGTTTCTTGTTTTCCGACTCCAGCTGCGAAAGTAATGTCCTAATTATGATGCATTAATTATTTATGATACTCTGTGATTGTAACTATATGACTATGAAACAGCGGTCTTGGTTCCAGCTTCGATTACACAGTAGGTATGTACGGAACCTATCTATGATTCAGTAAATTTTTGCACTACGATATCTGTTTAATTGTTATGTTTACCATTTGAAGATTCACGTCATCAGCCTATTTAAGTATGTGCCTTCTGCTAGGCATAGCACAGGTCTACGTACAGACGAATTAAGGAGAAACGAGTCATAAGCCACCACGGGGGCCCAGTGCAGATTGATAGCTAATGCGTGACCAATCGGAGACGGGTGGCGCAACATCATCCATACTTCCGACACGCATTAGGGGAACCTTGGTCCTCATAGTGCGTGTAGGTTGACCGGTCCCCTCAGGTTCGAGTGGTCTAGAGGCCCCAGATGGAGAGGAGACTCCCTCCGTAGGGAGATGCCACTCGCCTAGAATACCTCTAGAGGCACTCGCCGATTCTCGGCCTGAGATCCCCTTAGGATCTCGCCGTCCCCAAACCCGGTGACGCTGTAAAGATCATCTGCGACCAACAGCATTAACACTCAAAAAACGGGTGACTGGTGTAGGAGTATTGTCTGGTTTTTTACGGGGTAGAGATCTGTGCTGCTCCATCAAGCATAGCGCTGGAAGAACAAGGAGGAGTTCCCAGATACCCTTGTGTTGCTCTCCTAGTGGGCGCGTTAGGGCATTTCACAGATATAATAAAAAGATCGGTAGCTGTTAATAACAGCAGATGCAGCCAGGACCAAGAGTTTGACGTGCCACCCTAAGCACTGGCTTGAGATAACAAATGTACGGTCAATTGGTCACCATTTTTATATCGGCGAAAGTTGCTTATCTTCCACAGTTGTTGTCACATCAAACACTATTCTATTAGAAACAATTATTTATAGAGTCATAAATAAAACTTTAATCACATAAAATGTTTTCCTGGTACCTACTATACAAACGGTCGTAAATTACATAATCAAAGTAGACAATTCCATTCCCGCCAATTATTGTCTGGTCGGTACACACTGCATACTGACTGTTCATAAATCACACAATGCGTCAAAGGCCTTAGATTTTTGTGTTCAACACGTACTACTCACAATAGGGCAGCCGCACCGCGCCAAGATCATATCAAAGGAACATGAATGACATTATTGTTGGATGCGGTGTTTAATGGTCGACTATGGTTATATCGAAAACATTGGCATTTTCGGTAAAATGACAGCTTACCTCTGACCACTTTATGGCACTACTAGCTATGCCCCGCAGTCTTATCCGCGGTTTATTAGGGATATTTTCCCGCAGTAAAACGTTTGTGTTAAACCAGGGTGTCAGTCCATATCAAACTTTATTAAAATCTCTCCAGTCGTTTAGACGTGAAGTAGTAACAAACATACACACTCACAAACTTTCGCCTTTATAATATTAGTGTGATGAGGTCTAAGTTGTTTCATATGGGTTACGGTTTTAAAAAATCTATTATTGATAAAGTTAATATTGCTTATTATATTCTAAATTTTAACATAACACAATAATGTGACAATGTTGATTTAGGTATAGGGGGATGACCACGGGAGGACATTTTGTAAAGCTTAAATAAGCCACTGTACAGTAGGGAATGGTAAAAATCCTGAAAATCCGGGGAGACTAAAACACCCGGGACTCAAAACCTCGTCCGGGTACTTTCAGGACTAAATAACAACCGATAATTTAATATTGCTATTTTAAAATCACGTGCGCCAACAATTCCCGATTCACCGCTAGATAGCGTTTGCTAGGCCGCGAACGAAGTGAGGTAACTATAAGTCATCTACTGAGTGGCGTGATCCGCCACACTCTTGGTGGTCACCACATGTTTGGGACCCTTTGCTAAAGGTCCCATTTTCAAATTATTAAATAAGTTTTACTATAATTTTTATTTTTTATGCATGTAACTGCTTGATGTTTAAAGCTAAAGAAAATATAAGTAGAAACCAGGCCAACCAGCAGTCCCGTCTGCTGCCTGGTCCGCGTGGATTTTTTTTCAAAGTCGGTCTCCGGTCTCTAAGACCTAATTAATGGGATTTCATTAATTTCCCTTTCTATACTGCTTCTTGTGGAAATGTATACTCGTACTGTCAAAAATTATGCAGTTTTAAGGCACAATGATTCAAGTGAAACTTTGAAAATTATTATTAATAAAAGCCTCCCTCAGCTGAGATTGGAACCCGGGCCGCCCGAGTAGCAGGCGAGCTTTCTACCACAGAACCACAGATGCTTGTTATTAAAGTTCGAATTGTTTAATAACAATTAAAAACAGAATGCGACATGCTTATGGTAGACGAAATTCTTGTCGATGTAATAAAAGTGTAACTTTAAAAATATTTCAAAGAGAAAAAACCATAAAATTACAATGTTGATTTAAATGAAGTATTATTTACCGCATCCATGATTATGGTTCGAACTTTCGTTGGACGATGTTGATCGTAGTCACACGCAGCGTTAAAATGGACAGGAAGGGAGTCCAGATTACATCTTTGTGATCCAATTGTAGAGTTCGGCGTTGCGTTTTAGTGGCCCCTAGCCTTATTGACTCCTAGCAGTAAGACGATTTCCTTAGAAAGCTGATGCTTTATATTATAAATATAAATACAGGGCGAAAATAGGTTTTTTAAAATTGATTTCAAATCAAAAATAACAATTACAGAGCTTAAAAGCACGCCTTAAATCGGAGGGATTTGTCCGGTGTTTTAAGTACAAATACCTACGATTCAATATCATATTAACATAATATTAAGGTGTTTATTTAATTACATTCAAAGTCTTCTAAGTTAAATCTAACCTACTTTAAGATCTCACATTTTTAAAGGGGTGATGACGGGGTACAGTAAACGAAATTCTATTTAGTCCATCAGTTAGATGGTCAAAAAATAATGGACACGTATTTTTTCTTTGAGCAATCAACCAAAAAATGACAAAGTTATAGCGCGTCAAAGTTTGGGAGTAGGGGCTCGTGACGTCACTTTTAAGTGAAAATTGTACCAAAACGTGACGTCATGCGACTTTTCAAAGCAATATAATATCTCTGCAATGTTTATATTATGTGAAAAAAGAAAAAATACGTGTCCAATATTTTTTGATAATCTACCTGATAAACGAAGAAAAAAAAATAGTCATCATCCCTAAGCAAAGAAACAGAATTTAATATTTGTTCATAATGTTATTTTGTTCCTATAAATACATATTTGGATTTTGCATAGAACTTGGCACTCATTTAGATCTCCGTTCTTTTTGCGGCGGAGCCCACAGCTAAACATAATGTTTGTATTGAACTTGGCTCTCCTTTTTACATTTATGTTTTTGGTGGGATTATTTTTACAAGTATCATTACAACTGTTGAGCGAGAGGTGACAGGTACAGCTAGGGTTACCATCCGTCCGGATTTGTCCGGACTTTTACCGTTTGTCCGGACTTTTTTTAATTTGATGAAATATGAGTAAAACTTCTTATTAAGTTATATCAATAATCGTTATTAAGTTCTCATTAATTTAAAACAAAATATAAATCATCTTTAAAAATCAACAACGAGACCCCCCATGCGAGCCTCTGCTACCACGCGTATAATATCACTGTAACTAAGTGGTTAATGTTTGCATTTTGTGACTTAAATGTCCGGACTTTTATCGAAATGTCCGGCTTTTTGTCAGGACTTTTCAAATTTTTAAATAGTAACCCTAGGTACAGCACTTGCTGAGTTTCTTGCCGATTCCTCTCACCAATACTAATCTATTTGTCTGTGGTTTTGTCCAAGAAGTTTGCCGCTATATATTCCTACATACTTACAAGGAATAATAATATCATACGTACGGAAATTTTTGTTCACGTGTTTGCTTGTAGGCGGTAATTGTAGTGCAATGAATGCCTTGATACAGTTTGTTCATCGGGTTATAAGAAACATTAGGTAGATACCTATTTCGTATCGTAAAAAGTTATGAGTATAATCTAAATTGTAACCAAGGTTACTCCAAGAATAATTCTTAAGTCAAACATTTACCTAGTCATAAACATACATCGTAATAATATAATTATTTCAGTAGCACTTAACGCTGTATGTCAGCTTGAAACAGAGATAGACACATAAATGTGTTTCAAGCTGACTGAAACCACTAAACCGAATTTGATAAATTTTGGTATGGAGGTAAAATTAAGTTCTTTGTTTTAAACTCTCATGGTTATTAACATTATTTATTACCTTTGGGTAGGTAAAAGCCAAGAGATACGGCCTCGTCATAATTATTTTTTCATCGGTATAAAATTAGGTGTCCGACCAGGTTTAGAAAAAACTTTAAGAGTACACAAGAACGTCTACTTAAATGTGTGTGTTCTCATAATTCCAGAGGGCCCACTTCGAGTGCGATGGTACAAAGACACCACCCTCCTCGGCGACAGTATGGACGCTCACCATCTTCTGCCGCCTCGTGTCAGAATGCACGCCAACTACAGCCTGCAGGTGGACTCCCTGGTCGCGGGAGACACTGCAGACTATACGTGTGAGGTACGGCAACTGATAAATAAATAATAATAAATAATTTCCAACGCTCACATCAATTAGTCTAGCCCCAAAGTAAGCACTGTAAGGCTTGTGTTATGGGATACTAGGGTAACGGATAGAATACGTATATTGTACATATGTATACACAGTCAGGTCATAAGTATTGTCACATAGTAAAAACTTTTCTTTTAGAATGCTGTCCACAAAAAAGTTTATTGAATTCGAATTTCGAATTGTTCATGAAAATAAAAATGTATACTTTTTAGAATTTTACTCATTTTTGCATCGTTGCGGTTACGCGCCAATTCAAAATTTTGACATACTGAGAAATTCGAATATAACCAAAAGATTCGTTTATCGTACCATCAAATAGTACAGTCAATCTGTCGAAAAAAAAATCGTTTCAGTGAAAAAAAAACCTAAAGGCTAAGTCTTATTTTTTCTGTTGCCAAATGACGTCAGTAAGCCACCTTGGCGATGGGCATGTTCAACTCGTAGGCGTTTTTTGAAAAACTCAAAAAAACCCTCAAAAAATTTTTGAAACGCATTTTTCTTGTTTTGTATGCATTTTAGAAACTTTTTTTTCGACTATAACTGTAGAGGGCATTCAGTACTACAATTTATATTATTGTTGCAATCTCGTACAACAATAAAAGTGCATTGTAGGTGGCGCTAAAGTCTCAAAAAAAGTGTTTTTTCTCTTTTTCACCCTGAAAATATCATTTTAATGGAAAACTTTAAATGGAAAAGTTGTTCCGTACATAATTTCCAACAACTTTTGTATAAACAATTTTTTTAAATTACTTACAGTTTTCAAGTTACAGTGCAATACAGCGCTACATATACAACACAGTGAGTGCCAACACAGTGGGCCTATTCACAAAGTACATTAGTAAATTATTACAATCATGAAAAAAAAATTGTAAAACGTACATTGAAATGTGCACTGCAAATGTGTACTTGAACTGCCCAAAACCGCTCTATTGGATTTTTCATACCTGCGCAATTTATAACTTGAAAACGGTAAGTACATAATACAAAAAAATTGTTTATACAAAAGTTGTTGGTAATTATGTACGGAACAACTTTTCCATTTAAAGTTTTCCATTAAAATGATATTTTCAGGATGAAAAAGTGAAAAAAACACTTTTTTTGAGACTTTAGCGCCACCTACAATGCGCATTTTTTATTGTACGAGATTGCAACAATGACATAAATTGTAGTACTGAACGCCCTCTACAATTATAGTCGAAAAAAATTTCTAAAATGCATACAAAACAAGAAAAATGCGTTTCAAAAAAATTTCGAGGGTTTTTTTGAGTTTTTCAAAAAACGCCTACGAGTTGAACATGCCCATCGCCAAGGTGGCTTACTGGCGTCATTTGGCAACAGAAGAAACAAGATTTACCCTTTAGGTTTTTTTTTCACCACTCAACCTACAGATTGACTGTACTAAAACGACACAATGAAGACTAGTGTAGATGACAGGTCAAGAAGTGTTCGCCCTCGGTCTGTTAGGACTCCAGCAGTAATAAAAGCTGTGAAGGCGCGAATTCAAAGATATCTCAAACGTAAGCAGAAACTGTTGGCCCTTCAGATGGGGTTAGCAGAACCACGGGGAAAAGTGTGTTAAATGAAGACTTAGGGCTACGGGCATATCGAAGAAAAACAGGACATCATTTGAATGCTCGTCTAATGTACCTGAGACTGAAGAGATGCCGCGCTTTGTTGAAGCGGTACGCGGGAAATAAATATCGGGAAATTCTTTTTTCGGATGAAAAATTTTTACCGTAGAAGAGAGCTACAACAAACAAAATGATAAGGTGTACGCACACAGTAGTGAAGAAGTGAGCAACCGTATTCCGCGTGTCCAACGAGGTCATTTTCCGTCCTCGCTCATGGTATGGTTGGGAGTTTCTTATTGGGGCTTAACAGAGGTACATTTTTGTGAGAAAGGTGTAAAAACGAATGCAGTTGTGTATCAAAATACAGTCCTGACGAACCTTGTGGAACATGTTTCTCATACCATGTTCAATAACAGGCACTGGGTATTCCAACAAGATTCGGCGCCAGCTCATAGAGCGAAGAGCACACAAGACTGGCTGGCGGCGCGTGAAATCGACTGCGTCCGGCTCGAAGACTGGCCTTCCTCCAGTCCAGATTTGAGTCCGTTAGATTACAAGATATGGCAACAATTGGTGGAAAAGGCGTGCTCAAAGCCTCATCCCAATTCAGAGTCACTCAAGACATCCTTGATTAAGGCAGCCGCCGATATTGACATGGCCCTCGTTCGTGCTGCGATAGACGACTGGCCGTGCAGATTGAAGGCCTGTATTCAAAATCACGGAGGTAATTTTGAATAAACTTTATTGTCATAAGAATCTATGTTTTGATAAGTTCATTTTGGTATATAAATGGTTAAATAATGTACCCAGTGGCGTAACAATAGGGTGGCAGGGCTGGCAAAATGCCACGGGCCCCCAACCCAAGAAGGCCCAGGGCAAGCGGCCGCTAGCGAGAAAATTTTTTTTTACATTGTACCTGAGTATTTTATTTTATTTTATTTAAAAAGCATATTTTTATAAGTTCTGCTTAAAATTCAAAGTGAGACAACTAAAGACCATAATATAATTTTTAGTTAATCGTTAAGCATTTCAACCAACCTAAGCAAAAAGATGTTGATTCATTTTTAGAGATGTACCTACATGTTACCCGAGACGAGTAATTTTACGAAATCTTGTAAAATGAGGTCGTATTTTTTTGAAAATACGACCTTGACTGGCTCGTGGCTTAGGAAGGTGTAAGTACCTTCCTAAGTCACCTCCGTTTATCTCACATACAAGAACACCAACCTCATCGGCTATAAGCAATCTTCTTAAGGAAAACTGCAGCGGAATAACACTATTATCCTCTATCCATAGAGCAAGACCAGCGCGTCGGCCGTGTTGCTCTATGTTGATATCAGGGATGTAATGGAGGTAAATTTATCGGAACCGAAGTCGGAGTCGGAGTTTTTAAATTTGTTTTATCGGAGTCGGAACCGGAGACGGTGGCGGAGGCAGAGTCGGAGTCAGAGGCAGAGTCAGAAGTGGTCACAAGAGAAATATTTTTAATTTAAGAACAAATAAAAACATCATTCAGTCAACCTTTTTTCATTTTACTTATAAAATCACCATTCTTCATTTAAATTTACTTAATTAACACAGACTCCCAACGCGACGGGAATGAACCTTCGCTATTTGCTATGCTTCGACCTCCAATTTAAAAGTATCGGTTCAAAATCGGAACCGAAGGTGTTTTTTAGTTTTGTTTTTATATTAGATAGGATAGGTCCGACAAATGACTCCACCCCACCTGATGTTAAGTGAAGGTGAAGTCCAGACGCGAAGATAGCTAAGATAGCAGTTCTACCTGCCACACCAGCCATCCTCACCCTGATGGCCTACATGTTGCTTCTTTACGCCTCTTTTAAAGGATCCCAGGTTGTAAGAGGGAGAGAACACGTGAGTGGGCAGAGCATTCCACTTACGGATAGTGCGACAAATAAATGAGTCACCAAATTTCTTTGTACGCGTTGGAATGGTGGCCACAGTTAGACGGTGACAACGTAGGCGCACGCGTGGTCCTCTGAAGGAAAGGGGAAGGTGGGATAAGAGAGAATAACTCCTTAGAACACTCGCCGTGGTACAGACGGTAGGACGCGCTTAGTGACTCCACGTTACGGCATAATTGAAGAGGCTCGAAGTATTTAGTCACTTTCTCATCGTAATAATAATAATAATGTAATAATAATTGGAAGTTCCGGCTTATCGGAATCGGAGTCGAAGCTCCGTAACATCCCTGTTGATATGGCGGAAATTATTATTTTCTACCGCCTGGATTATAAACTTCTTTGTGTCGCGAAATCAAAAATTGATAGGGAAGAAACACGACTAGAAAGTTTGGAATTCTAAGTTGCCTATTATTACGCATGTCTAATTTTTACTTAATATAAGTACTTTGGTAGACAAGCATACAGTCCGCATAGTATAAAAGTGAGTGAAATCTAATGGCTTTGGTCTTTTATTAACCATTTCGCGACAGCTGTTTTTATATTTATATCGTTGTAAATAGTATTGGGTCTTTTATGAAATCATTTGTCATACCTGAATATTAATGGTGAGAACTATAGGGATTCTCCGGGCAGTATTTTTTTTTTTATGTTATGAGGGGCATACGAGCAGACGGCTCACCTGATGGTAAGTGATCACCGTCGCCCATGGACACTTGCAACACCAGGAGTATCACAAATGCGATGCCGGCCTTTAAGGAAGGAGTACGCTATTTTTTTTGAAGGTTCTTGGGTCGTATTGATCCGGAAACACTGCTGGCGACAACACATTCCACAGTTACAGGGATAGCACTGTATTATAGGCATTTTTGAAAATATCTTTAGCTGTAGATATTGCAGATTATTACGATAACTGATATGATGGTAAGGAAACTTGCGTATATAAGTTTGTCACTTTATCAAAAAACATGTAAAAGACCGACTACTTTAAGCACAGTAAGTAAGCAATTATTTTCCCACACAGTCTTGTTAATAAAACACAAACATTGTACCTACCAGCTCCCAATTTATTTTTTTTTAGCATCAATTGCGAAACGATCTTGTTGGTAACGGCTCCGTATCGTAGATAGCAATTAGTTTAAACTGTTTTAAAAGAGCCGCCCTTCGATCTTAACTAACGCTCGCTTCGCTAGTGATGGACTAAGATTTTTGTCGAGTTATCGATAAACATTGTATTTTGACAATGTTGCCCTCAATGTATGCAATACGGAAGGTTTTTTTTGAATTACTCTTGAATTTCAGTAAGCAATATTAATGTGAGTTATATTACGAAGGCCCCAATTTGTGATTATTATCACTCCCGTGAATTGACATTTGGGATTAAGTTTTTTAACGAAAGCATTTTTAAATCCTAACTTTTGTCATTAAAAAGTTAAGATTTATTTTAACTTTTTAATGACAAAAGTTAGGAAGATTTATTTCATTTTTAAAATGCTTTCGTGCTATAAAATCTCTTTTTATAGCTTCACAAGAACAAGAATCTTCAAATTGTTGTTCGAAATTAGATTTTTGCCATGAATCCAACGTTGTTTTCAAATAAATGAAACAGTGGTTTTTATAATATTTTTATTAAAGTATAAAGTGCTTGGCATTCATTTATTTTATAAGTAATGTATTTGAAGCAATTAATTAAATTTATTATCGAGATCGATAAATTAACACCACAACTCTAGGTGGTCGGCTAGAAGCCCAATTATGCAATTAATCAATTTAAACCAACTCTTTTGATCGCCTTTTGTACACACTAACACCGACGCACCGCGAAATTTCTTGAGCTATTGTGCGTTTATTAGCTCTAGCTTGTCTATAACTAAAAACAAAAATTAAAAAAAACGACATTAAACCAGTCTGCTTAAAATTATGTACTTTAAAATAAATAAAAACTAAAAAAAAGAACAAGTCCAGTATTATATAATCCTGTTTAGAAAGGATCAAAGCTACTTTGTTCAAAACTAAAAATTTTCATGAATGGTTCCCGACTATTACAGTAGCTTTGTTCTTTGCTTAACATAATTATAGACCATTTTTCATTTTTTTGTAAAAAATTGTAGTAATGTGGTTTACGACTGCTACATACTTATTCTAATTAAGGTCTCTTCTAAATAATAGTATTTAGATAAATAATAGTATTTACATCGACCGAGACCTACCTCAAGTAGGTACATATTATATAGTAAACAAATATTTTGAACACACACCAATTGGCCTAGCCCCAAAGTAAGCACTGTAAGGCTTGTGTTATGGGATACTAGGGTAACGGATAGAATACATAAACTGTACATATAAAAGTATATTTATAAAAATACATATTTTAAAATCCAACAAAACATCTGCCCGCATCGGGATTCGAAATCGGGACCTCTCGAATCGGCGACACCATGAAACCCGGCGTACAAACCACTCGGCCACGGCGGTCGTCAGTATAGTATAGTATTTGTTGAGTTTGATTATCTTGCACTTGATCGATCACTTTTATTTGACAATACAAATAGTTAAACTGTATGGCTGCTCTCCTGCGTTACCGGATAGGCGGTGTATACCAAAGGTAATTAGTAACACACTATGACAACAACGTAAGCCCGAAGGCATTATTATTACTGAGGGAGTTTAAGCCAGTTAAACTGTTACCGCCTTCACCGCGTGGAGGTACTCCCAGCTTAAGTTGTGTTCTGATTCATTATTTAAACCCGGTGTCACTTTCACAATTAATACTAATCTAACTACACCTCAAAAGGTGAAATCCAGCGAGCCATTTCGGCCGCAGAAAGTGCCAAACAATTATACATACCTACTTTAGAAAAACATAACCCTCTTTCTGGCGCAGTCGGATAAAAAAGCGTCGGGGAAAAGACATAAGTACCTATAGGTACGTATTCGCCTACTAATTCTTCGTCTTACAACACATAATTTATATTAAGTCCATTTGTTACAGTCGAAGCTTTGTCTAACGTTAATTTAACATTATTCGATATTACATTTAATTAATGCCTTTATATTGTGCTTCAGTACCAAGTTAGACAGTACAAAAGCTCCATTTATAAATTATGAACAAGTTAAAGATTAATCTCTGTAATAATTAAGAATAGGTGTACATAGCTACACCTTAACACCAATAAATTATTTTAACAGTTTTAATATCTACTTACCAATACTGGTCCTATTCGTTTTTAAACATTGGCTTTCATGAAAGAAAACTACTTACTCAACTTTTTTGTACTTGTTTTATTTCGGTTGTGAAATTGCAAATTCGAAGATAATAAACAACATATTCATCGACTGTTTTTTTTAACACTTATTTAACTGTTACATTTTAAGTTGATGATGGGTAATGTTATATGTAGAAGGTTCGATAGTTGGTAGAGTAGGCTCATCAGAATCCGAGGCCGCGTCAAGATGCAGTTAGGGTCGAATGGGTGGAAAAGACAGGGAGAGGAGAAGACGGTTTATTAATTGTGAGAAGCGAAAGAAAGAGGAGAGTAAACGAAACAGAAAATAAATAAAAGGTATAAAGGATGGAAGTTAGAAGAGTGTAAGAGATGAGATTTAAATATCTTGCATGAAATACAGCCATTGACGAAATACATTCAATTTCATCGTCTGTTAGGTGGTACGAAGTTTGTCGGGTGAGTCGGGTCAGAGTTAATAAATCGCGCTTTGTACTCAGAAAAGTGTTTTAAAAAAGGACCTATCGAATTGTAATAGGCGCGAGTCTCGTCATCGCCGACTTTTAAATTCTCAACCGAAAATAGGTTTCAAACTTTGATTGGACATCCTATCGGTCCGTTTTGAACGGATGCGTGTTGTTAAGCACTAATCAGCCGTTTATTGGGGGGCAGACCACCCGCTCCGCTAATTAGTGCGTGTGTGTCATTCACCACCCGGTTTATGAGACGTCGAATTTCAATTAATAAAATAAATGATAAAATCTTTTTTGTCTTACAACTCTGGATTTTTAGAACGAAGTTCTTTACCAAACGGAGCGGACTATGCGAAAAAAATATTGTAAACATTTTTCTGTCACGATTTTCCGTCTCGACAGTCAGCTGTTTTGTAAATTGAGCGTAGCGTATTGCGTGTAATTGGTGTCGATTCTAGCATGATTCTCTAAACCTAAACTTAAATTTGACAGCAGTATATCCTTGTTATTCTCTATACAGAATGAAAAGGAGAGACTGATGTTAAATTTAGTTTTAAGTTTAGAGAATCACGCCAGAATTGGCACCATTGTGTACTTAAACCAACTTATGTTTGAAGAATTATGACGAAGTTCAATAATTTAATTTGTTCTCAGGTGATTCGACCGGAGCCGTGGGGCCCTATTCGGCAGACGCATTCCATAGAAGTTCAATGTGAGTTCAACATTTTATTAAGTTTACTAGGGTGTCACGATATTGCTCAAATCTGTTATTGGTCAAATCGTTCAATCTCTTTTCCTCAGATTATGTAATGTTTTATATAAATGTAAACAGTGAAACACAGCCTATACTCGTTTAAGCCAAATAGCTCAATAAATTTAATGTTAAGGAATTTAATAAATATTAAATTTGTAATATTCGACAAAAAGAAGTCACGTAAATAATGTATTAACATTGACTTTTTTACATATAAATAAGTAAAATCAAATGAAACGAAACGTAGTTGAGCGTAAAAAACATAATGACAGAAATATGCTTGGATTTGGCCAGCATGGTCGTCTAGATAATCTTACAGCATGTGTACATGGACTTGACCAATGGCGTATTTGGAAAATTACATAACTTGACGAAAAGAGGATTTGAAGAATTACAAATTAGTCTAATATCTGGTTTGTCGATTTGACGATTTGATCAATGTCGTAACACCCGTTTAAAGAAGATACAGTAGATCGCCGATTATCCGAATAAATTGGGACCGGAGTTGATTCGGATAATCGAAAATTGGGATAATCGGACATAGACTGTTAATAAAGAAAAACAAACTGTCACACATAGAATAAACCTTATAAATTTAACAAACAAAGTTTTACAATACTAAATACAATAATAGAGGTACAATGTAGCAAAAAATCTCTAGCTTTCAACCATAACAGATAAAATATAATATGCTTCGGAAGGCATGTTAAGCCGTTATTCCCGGCTGTATCTATAGTCGTTAGCACCCATCATCCGCACATGGCCCAATCTCCCTATTCCATCCAAGTAAAGCCCTGTGCTCAAGTAGAGTCTGTGCGGAATGAGCGTGGCGAAAAACGGAACTAACATTAATATTTTTATTTGGCAATCAAACCCAGCAATCTGTAAAACGTCAAAGTTTTGTATTGATACGGATTTGTTTGTTGTTGTGATTTCTTGCGGTTTTTTGTATTTAATCATGTCTAAAAGGGGTAAAACCTTACAAATACGGTAGAAAAGCACTACAGCGCCCTCCAATCTAAATCCCATTCTCTTTCCGCACAGGCTCTAGCGCTGATAATGAACGTCATTTACTACTTTCTTCTAGATTCCCCAACTGTCAAGACTATCCCGGATGATGGTTTCGTGGAGGTCCGCAAGGGGGAGTACGTGGACATAGGCTGTGACGCCACCGGTACACCAACACCCGTCGTCAATTGGAAGAAAAACGTGAGTTCTGTTGGAATATTTGCTCTGGGGAATTCAATCTTATAGGAGAACAACTTTTTATAATATTTTTTGAGTTTCACCACTAGCTAAAAAATATACTTTTTATCTTACATTATTTACTTTTTAATGCTTAACATAATATTAAAAAATATGTTTGTACAAGATCAGTACCAAAATGGTTGTTCTCATTTGATAAGCGTTTGCAAATTGTATTTATTCGATATAAAAATTAGCAGAGCGAATCTAAAAAAGTGTCCAATATTTTCAAATTATGGCAGATTTTGTTTTATTCATTAAAAATCCTCAAAACTACCTACCTTCGTTTTCCGCTATCCGGGCGGTGTTTTCTTCCTACAATCTGTGGTTATTTAAGAGAGGAGTCAAGAAGCATTTTTGCAGGCCGGAAAGGTAAGGATTTTGCAGGTGTGCGAGTTTATAACTGCTGCACCAGTTTTATTCGCGTCTGGACTTTCTCAACACTTAAAATCAGGTGGGATTGAGTAGTTTGCCTTCTTCTTCGGCGCTACACTCTTGACAGAGTGGTCGTGGTCGTCACTGAGGGTTGGTGACGCACTTCACAATATGCCGCCATTCCTCCCGCACTGCGGCGCTCCTCGTACGGCACTCGGTGCGGTACTGCACTCGTGAAGTGGACTGTTCAGTGCCGCTTTTATCAGATCGGTGCAGCGCATTGGTGATCTTCCGCGCGCCCTTACGCCCTCGACTCTGCCGTGCACCATCAGTCGTTCCACTGCCACATCTTCTCGGCGTGAGGTGTGGCCAAAGAAAGTGGGAATACGACCATGCACTATGGAAGAAAGACTTTGTTTGATAGACAGTTCCTAGAGGATGGATTCATTTGGTCGGAATTCTGTCCACTGTATGCCAAGCATATTCCTCCAGCAGATTTCTAGGTCCAGGTCTCAGCACCATAAAGGAATATGGGACACACTAATGCCCTGACGAGTCGTGTTTTTGTGGCTTCTGTGATGTTTCTTTTCTGGTAGATTACAAACTTAACGATAAAGAAAAAACTTTTGGAACGAGCTCTAAATCTCTTGCAGGGTGAACCCTTGGCACTGCTGGAGCCCCGCTCGCGGCTGCGGTTCAAGGCGGAGCATCGCCTGCTGGCGGGCGTGTACGAGTGCCGCGCCACCAACGGAGTGGGCGACCCCGTCACTGCTGACATCAGGGTCGTGGTGCTGGGTGAGTGCTGTGTCACCAGGGACATGAGGGGGCGATACTGACCACATGTCACGATACACTAGGCGCTGACGATACGTAAAGATACAATAGACACATATTACACATTATAGTAGTAAAAATCTTCTATAGTTTCGAACTATAGAAATAATTGCTTAGACTATTTTGATGAGTACCACCACTAAATAAGTGCTACAATATTCCAGACGCGCCGGTAGTAATAGCGGAGCGCTCGTTCGTCCACACGGCGATAGGGCTGCGTGCGTCACTCGCCGCGCACGTGCTGTTCGCTGCGCCGCCCGCCACGCACGCCTGGTACCGACACGGCAGGCCGGTGCGGACCGACGACAGGTGACTGCATACTGCACTACACACGACACGTGACGATACACTACACTACACTACACGCCACGCACGCCTGGTACCGACACGGCAGGCCGGTGCGGACCGACGACAGGTGACTGCATACTGCACTACACACGACACGTGACGATACACTACACTACACTACACGCCACGCACGCCTGGTACCGACACGGCAGGCCGGTGCGGACCGACGACAGGTGACTGCATACTGCACTACACACGACACGTGACGATACACTACACTACACTACACGCCACGCACGCCTGGTACCGACACGGCAGGCCGGTGCGGACCGACGACAGGTGACTGCATACTGCACTACACACGACACGTGACGATACACTACACTACACTACACGCCACGCACGCCTGGTACCGACACGGCAGGCCGGTGCGGACCGACGACAGGTGACTGCATACTGCACTACACACGACACGTGACGATACACTACACTACACTACACGCCACGCACGCCTGGTACCGACACGGCAGGCCGGTGCGGACCGACGACAGGTGACTGCATACTGCACTACACACGACACGTGACGATACACTACACTACACTACACGCCACGCACGCCTGGTACCGACACGGCAGGCCGGTGCGGACCGACGACAGGTGACTGCATACTGCACTACACACGACACGTGACGATACACTACACTACACTACACGCCACGCACGCCTGGTACCGACACGGCAGGCCGGTGCGGACCGACGACAGGTGACTGCATACTGCACTACACACGACACGTGACGATACACTACACTACACTACACGCCACGCACGCCTGGTACCGACACGGCAGGCCGGTGCGGACCGACGACAGGTGACTGCATACTGCACTACACACGACACGTGACGATACACTACACTACACTACACGCCACGCACGCCTGGTACCGACACGGCAGGCCGGTGCGGACCGACGACAGGTGACTGCATACTGCACTACACACGACACGTGACGATACACTACACTACACTACACGCCACGCACGCCTGGTACCGACACGGCAGGCCGGTGCGGACCGACGACAGGTGACTGCATACTGCACTACACACGACACGTGACGATACACTACACTACACTACACGCCACGCACGCCTGGTACCGACACGGCAGGCCGGTGCGGACCGACGACAGGTGACTGCATACTGCACTACACACGACACGTGACGATACACTACACTACACTACACGCCACGCACGCCTGGTACCGACACGGCAGGCCGGTGCGGACCGACGACAGGTGACTGCATACTGCACTACACACGACACGTGACGATACACTACACTACACTACACGCCACGCACGCCTGGTACCGACACGGCAGGCCGGTGCGGACCGACGACAGGTGACTGCATACTGCACTACACACGACACGTGACGATACACTACACTACACTACACGCCACGCACGCCTGGTACCGACACGGCAGGCCGGTGCGGACCGACGACAGGTGACTGCATACTGCACTACACACGACACGTGACGATACACTACACTACACTACACGCCACGCACGCCTGGTACCGACACGGCAGGCCGGTGCGGACCGACGACAGGTGACTGCATACTGCACTACACACGACACGTGACGATACACTACACTACACTACACGCCACGCACGCCTGGTACCGACACGGCAGGCCGGTGCGGACCGACGACAGGTGACTGCATACTGCACTACACACGACACGTGACGATACACTACACTACACTACACGCCACGCACGCCTGGTACCGACACGGCAGGCCGGTGCGGACCGACGACAGGTGACTGCATACTGCACTACACACGACACGTGACGATACACTACACTACACTACACGCCACGCACGCCTGGTACCGACACGGCAGGCCGGTGCGGACCGACGACAGGTGACTGCATACTGCACTACACACGACACGTGACGATACACTACACTACACTACACGCCACGCACGCCTGGTACCGACACGGCAGGCCGGTGCGGACCGACGACAGGTGACTGCATACTGCACTACACACGACACGTGACGATACACTACACTACACTACACGCCACGCACGCCTGGTACCGACACGGCAGGCCGGTGCGGACCGACGACAGGTGACTGCATACTGCACTACACACGACACGTGACGATACACTACACTACACTACACGCCACGCACGCCTGGTACCGACACGGCAGGCCGGTGCGGACCGACGACAGGTGACTGCATACTGCACTACACACGACACGTGACGATACACTACACTACACTACACGCCACGCACGCCTGGTACCGACACGGCAGGCCGGTGCGGACCGACGAGAGGTGACTGCATACTGCACTACACACGACACGTGACGATACACTACACTACACTACACGCCACGCACGCCTGGTACCGACACGGCAGGCCGGTGCGGACCGACGACAGGTGACTGCATACTGCACTACACACGACACGTGACGATACACTACACTACACTACACGCCACGCACGCCTGGTACCGACACGGCAGGCCGGTGCGGACCGACGACAGGTGACTGCATACTGCACTACACACGACACGTGACGATACACTACACTACACTACACGCCACGCACGCCTGGTACCGACACGGCAGGCCGGTGCGGACCGACGACAGGTGACTGCATACTGCACTACACACGACACGTGACGATACACTACACTACACTACACGCCACGCACGCCTGGTACCGACACGGCAGGCCGGTGCGGACCGACGACAGGTGACTGCATACTGCACTACACACGACACGTGACGATACACTACACTACACTACACGCCACGCACGCCTGGTACCGACACGGCAGGCCGGTGCGGACCGACGACAGGTGACTGCATACTGCACTACACACGACACGTGACGATACACTACACTACACTACACGCCACGCACGCCTGGTACCGACACGGCAGGCCGGTGCGGACCGACGACAGGTGACTGCATACTGCACTACACACGACACGTGACGATACACTACACTACACTACACGCCACGCACGCCTGGTACCGACACGGCAGGCCGGTGCGGGCCGACGACAGGTGACTGCATACTGCAATACACGAGACGTGACGATACACTACACTACACTACACGCCACGCACGCATCTCCCTATTCCATCCATAGGAAAGGCCTGCGCCCCAGCAGTGCGGACATTAATAGGCTGATGATGATGATGAGTTTTTTCCCTACCATTATTGGACGATGCTGTTTCTGCCTCCCCAGGGTGGTGATGATGGTGCAAGACAACGTGCACCAGCTGATCTTCCGCACGGTGAGGAAGTCCGACCTCGGCAACTACACCTTCCGCGCCGAGAACAAACTCGGCATGGCCGATGTGCAGTTCAAACTCACTGGTACGTGGAATACTCACACACTATAATCATAATGGTGTTGATTCTATAGAGGTATAAGAATAGAGTGGGGAAGGCGGCTCTAAAAGTGTCCGTCTAGTAGAAAGAGAAAGAAGATGAGAGACCGCTAGCTATCTCTCTCTCTTGTGACGCATGGCATCCCATCGTAATAGTAAGATGCTTACTTACTACGGTTGCCAATGCGCATGCGCGATTAGAGAGAGAAAGCTAGCGGTCTCTTATCTTTTTTCTCTTTCTATTAGAAGGACACTTTCACTTGTAGTAGAGTCAATATCTCCCCTACTCTATTCTTATATATACCTCTATGGTTGATTCTGGTTTGATTTTCTAAACGTTAAACAAGATTTTACATTAGTTTGTCCGTTTCATTCTGTATAGAGAATGACAAGTTGTCTAAGTTTAAGTTTAGAGAATCTTGCCAGAATCGAAACCGATAAATGTAATTGTTTTAAACTATAAATAAGTAAATATATATTTATAATTTCTATTATTTTAAAGCATGTAACTGCTTGATGTTTAAATCTAAAGAAAATATAACTAGAAAAAAATCCACGCGGACCAGGCAGCAGACGGGACTCGAACCCGCACCCTTCGCAATCCGGGCGAATGCACTGACCAATTATGCTACCGCGGCCCTCACGGACCACGTCGAAATTCTTCTAGCCATTCTTAAGCTGCAAGGCAGCGCCATCTCTTCGCATTATAGGTAACCCACAATGTCAAATGAATACTTTTACAAGTATTAAACATTTGAAAGAAGAAATAGCAATTATATTTATAATTTCTATTATTTTAAAGCATGTCACTGCTTGATGTTTAAATCTAAAGAAAATATAACTAGAAAAAAAAATCCACGCGATTTGTGGATTTTTTTTCTCTAGTTATATTTTCTTTAAATATATATTTATTCGGTGTTTCATTCAACATTTCATAACAGAAACACAATAAAGGAAAAAAGTAGTCCTGTCCGATATTAGTAGAAAACCATAAAATTCGACTGCAGAGACACCTATCGGGTGGAGATGGAATTTAAGTTTTCTGAAGTTTTCTAATTTTATGAACCATTCCTATTTCTGTTCTGTGATTCAAACCTTGCGACTTGGGCCCGTAGTCCATATTTTACTGGCAAATGATGCAGTTTCCACAAGCGATACGTATGATAATCCTTGGCGTTATAAGTAATAATAAAAAAAAACTTCCACAGGGGTGCCAAACGTGGCTTCTTTTAAAGTGGAGCATGCACTAAACAAAGCTACCCCTGTGAGCTTCACCCTGGTCTGGGAGGTAGATTCATACTCCACTATCATAGGTAAGTAGTGTCATGACACATCCTGATTAGTGGTAGTTTTGAATTGAAAAAATTATGGAAATATTGGTTGCATGCTGTCTATACGTTAGCCTAGAGTTAAATTCGTGTGAATCGTTATAACTGTCAAAAGACCATTTTCAGACATCACTCATGTCCTCATCATCAGCTTATTAATATCCCCACTGCTGAGGCACAGGACTTCTTTGTAGAGAAGGAGTTTGTAGACAAGTCCACTGGTCGTATTCTTTTAAAGGGCCAGGGCCACAGGTTTAGGCTATCGCTTACGATTTTATTTTGTTATTTCTGATCCCCGAAAGCTTTCAAATACCTTACGCTAATTTGCTTTAATATACTTATTACCAATGCAAAAGAAAAAAAAACGAGCGCGGGGCATTTCAAAACCTTCAGCGGTTTGTAGTGCATGTTATTTGCGTATTCGCCATTTTTTATCAAGAAAAGGACAACAATACAGCCGTTTCGCTCGCGCTGCGTTGAAGCGTACAGTTCTGTCTCGCTCGCTCGATTGAATGTTTATTTACAGACGTGTGCGTGTGTGACAGTTGCTTATATGTAATTGAGTCGGATCATATTTTATCTGATATGATTTTGTTTAATCTAAGTTTTGATACCATAAACTCGCTTCCTCATAGAGTACAACCTCTGGATCCGTCCGTACTACGGCCGGTTGAGTACGGAACCCGATTCGTTCACGACAGAGGCGCCCTCTAACCGCTGGGTCAAAATTGTAGTCGGCGGGGACTCCACCGAAGGGCCCATACACAGCGCCGTCTATACTGTACGGGGGCTCACGCCTTCCACTGTCTACGAAGCTATTGTCACGTCTAGGAATAGGTAAGCTTCAAGTCTATCTAGTTTAAATCTAATTTATGGCTAAACAGTAGGACACGGCATTCCTAAACTTTGTTAAATCAGTTTTTTATATATTTTTATTGTATAGTCATAATTTTTATATTATTTACATTTGTAATGGAAAGTCACTTCATGAGTTACCTTATATTGAAGTTATTTAATTTTTAAATTTAATTTGACGACTCTGTATAATACAGAGAGCAAAAAAAACAGCCCTTGCTGAGTTTCTTGCCGGTTCTACTCAGTAGTCTACTGCCGTAGATTTGCTAGCGTAGCTTTTCGACATTTACATACAAGTGCTTGTAACAGCCTAGACTGAATAAACGATATCGAATTTTTAAAGAAAATTTTACTGGAAAATCTATCCATCCAGATACGAATCTGTAGTCAAATTTAAATTTAGGTTTAGGAAATCATGCCAGAATCGACACTGTTGTCTTAATTAATCTGGTCGGGTTTAATGGCTAAACCTTTAGGTACCTACCTACATTGGTTAATTATCTTTAACTGTTGGTACGCAGTACCTACGTTTGAAAAAAAACAAAGAAAGGACTGTTCGATCGTGAGATGCAGGATTACGAAAAGTTTATACTTGTGAATTGTTATACTTCACCATCAGCCTATTAACGTCCCCACTGCTGGGGCACATGCCTTCCCTATGGATGGAATAGGGAGATTGGGCCATGACCCATCACGCGGGCCCAGTGCGGATTCGCGGGTGCTAACGACTGCAGATGCAGCCGGGACCAACGGCTTAACGTGCCTTCCGAAGCACGGAGGAACTCGAGATAGAAGATTTTTGGTCACTCATCTAATGGCCGACCACTGCGAAAGTTGCTTAACTTCAACAATCGCAGCCGAACGCGCTTACCACCTGCGCCATGGAGCTCCTCAATACTTATAATAATGTTAAATCGTTCGAGTTTAAAAACTCGTATTAAGTTATTGTGATTCAGAGTCATTATGAGACTAATGGGTGATGGGGTAGCAAGTATGTAATTAATGCTACTGTAATGAAAGTCACGGCCAACAAACGATCTTTTTCAGATTTGGCTGGAGTAAACCTTCTGCGATTCTGCACTTTGCAACAGAACCTGGAGGTGAGGAGAAATCGTTAAATTTATATTTCTCAACAAAACCACAACTTTCCGTTCATTCATTCGCTCAATTAATTTATTATAGTGAATGAATGAATTCACTCACTATGCGGGCCCAGTGCGGATTATTCGGTGCTAACGACTGCAGATGCAGCCGGGACCAACGGCTTTACATGCCTGCCAAAGCACGGAGAAGCTGGAGATGATAATTTATAGTATTTGGTCGCCCATCCAATGACAGAACATTGAGAAGTTGCATAACATCCACAATCGCAGACAGAAATCCCAAATCAATGCGCAATTCCTCAAAAATGCATCTAAGGGGCCGTCCATTAATCTCGTGATGTTTTTTTTTGTCACTTTTAACTACTCCCTCCCTTAGGGGCCGTTCAAGTATTTCGTAAGCACAATAAGGGGGCAGTGGGGTCTTTGCTTTGCTTATTTTTGATGACATGGGGGGGGCGGGGATCGAGATAGTGATTACGTCAGCATCATGGATTCGGGTGTCTTGGACTGAAGACTGTCAATTGGAATCAATATGTATAAAAATTCGAAAGAAGTTTTTTTTTGTTCCTAATACCTAATTAATAAGATTATAATATTTGTACCTTACTCTATGTTGAATACTGTGTCAATAAAGTTTGTTTAAATGAATATTATTTGCGTTAACCTAAGCCTATTTAAGTACTGCTGCTCATGAAGCACATGAAAGCTCATGAATCAATAAAAAAACAGAATACATTAAAGGAAAAATGCATACAGGTATCGATTTTTAAGTAAGCGTAAGCATGGGAGCGGGGGGTAAGAACTTTTGCTGACAAGGGGGCGGAGGGGGTAAATAATTGTAATAAATCAACTTACGTAATACTTGAACGGCCCCTTGCTTGGTGATACGTGGTGAGGTTTCAGAGTATCCTGAGTATTATTTTTAAGTTAAAGAGTACGAACCGGATGCTAGGTTTTTGATATTCTGAAAAAAATTCATGGTGTGCACCTTGATCATTTTGTATGCATGGACGTGCATTCAGGTTTCTGAATCGGAATTCCAGCCGGCTTATTTGCTAACTTTTCTGACATTTACTGTGTGTAACTTAAGAGAAAAATTGTATATCCATTGATGCTTCCCAGAAGAAGTATCTTAGTGATGTTATAATAAAGCACTAGTGTATCACCTAATAGCTCGATGATTATTACTTCCATCTGTCAAAAGCAGTTAGCGAATAGGCCTACTGTACCCTTAGCATGAACCATTATCGAATTAAAATAGTTTGCAAGTGCAGAATGTAAATAAAACTGACAAATTTTGTATGGAAACTTGAACAGCAGCGCCACAAAGTACGTAACGAGAACTTAAAATCAGTACCCCTAGCACGAACCATTATCGAATTAGAATAGTTTGCGAGTGTGAAATGTCATTTCAAATTTGGTATGGAAACTTGAACAGCAGCGCCACAAAGTACGTAACGAGAACTAAAAATTAGTACATATTTGACAATGACATTTCGGACTCGCAAACGTTACGAATTCGATATTGATTTGTGCTAAGGGTACAGGAAACCGTACATATGCGTCCAGCCTAATTAAGGTATATTTTCGCAGCCGGGCGTCAAATTCCTTCGACATCCGACTATTCGGATGTATCACCAGTACTGGAAGAATTGGAGCCGGAAGTACATAACATATCACAGGCACAGGTTTTTGAACACGTTAGCGAAAGTTCTGTCGGAGCGCGGGAAACTTCCACGGCCATCTTGATCTTGGTCGCCATTTTGTTTTTCTGCATCAGTTGACTGACTATTTTCATGCTGAATATAAAGTGTTCTTCCTACCTTCTTGTATGAATTTACTATTGTAGTGTTGGAAAGAGTTGGAAATAGTTGGAATGGAATGGAACTGTTTTCTCATCATAGTATCTTTAAACGATTTTTGGTTGACAATTTTCCCTTTTTTGTCAAAGGAAACGGATCTTTCTATGTCGGGTGGAAGTTAGTCTTCGGCGGACTCCATTTTTTGTGAAACGTAGAAGGGCACTAAATTGTAAATCGTTTGACAAAAAACTAGAATTTATTTAATCTCAGTTTTTTAATAATAATTTTAATATAAAATTCTACAATTATTTATTGGCAAGTTTATGTATGTATTTTTTGTTGATAAAAAATTAAACATATTCTATTCAATAGGTAACTAAAGCAGTGATAATGGTTCTGTTAATCTTTCACATTACATTATAAGGTATTATTCTCTGGGATATCTTTTTCAAGAAAAATCAATCATAAATTCACCAGGATTTCACGAAAATCATGCATGCATGAGTGTTAGCTCTAAGTCTTCGATTAACAATTCTCTAGTTAACGGGTCAGCGCGTAAAATCCGCCTCGGTAAATATGTATAGCCTCACTTGAGGAGTGATACCAATCTTATTTTAAATTAGTGCGGTTAATACAAAAAGAAGTAACTCGCTGGCCAATGACTGGTAAAAATATTATATATTGTGGGTCATAAGGTTGATTTCACATTTTCCTTTTTTCACCTTTATAATTTTTTCTAAGTTTCGGATATCTTTATATATATAATTCTTCTGGGAGTGTGTATGTCACTGAACTTCTCTTAAACGACTGGACCGATTTTGATGAAATTTTTTGTGTGTGTTCAAGGGGATCTGAGAATGGTTTAGATTCACAATTTTGTCCGCTGGACAACCCCTATTTTTTTAGGGCGGTACGAAGTTCGCTGGGTCAGCTAGTATTTTATAAAAGAAACAAGAGTTCGTTTTATATGATAAAAGGATGTATGTGCGAAATAACATTTTGTTATTTGTAACCTTATCCCTTTACTGGAGTACGATTGCTCGTATTCATCACACAAACATCTACCTCCATCGGGATTCGAACCCGGGACCTCTCGAGTCGGCGACACCATGAAACCCGGCGTCAAAACACATATTTAATCGTTATCTATAGAATTGTTGATTGAATCTCAAGTGCATGACTGGACTTATTGACATTTGCCATATTGATTGAGTAGACGATATAAGCTGGCTGGTACACACTAAAAATATGACGGTAATTATGACACAATTATTACCTACCACCACGGAGGTTAGAGAGAGGGATAACGATCGCTACGTTTTAAAGCATTAGCCGCCTGTTCCTGTAAATTTGTATAATTTATAGTTCATTTTTCAGCCACTAGTCGCGCTGTCGTCGGTAAGTAGTAGCTATCTGTGAAGTTAGCTGTTTATGAGTACAAGTAGATGAAGTTAGTTGAATAATGTACTAATTTTCTTTCGCGGCATTGGTCATTTCAAATTAGCCCGCTTTTTTTGAGACAACTTAGCGATCGCAGCGCCACATTTACTTTGTCCACATTTGTGGGATACTATTTTCTACGGCGATCGTTCTCCTTCTCTTTAACCTCCATGCCTACCACTTTTGAACCATCTCCTTTATTTGTTAGATTAAGACCTTGTTTGTCAATCTAATTCCATTGTTTACAGGGCCCTTAATCGTTCCCTTAGGTTTTAAACCTATTTTAAATTTTATTCAAGGATGAAAAATCAGCCCTTAATGAAATAAATGTTACACTACTGTCGATTCTGGCATGATTCTCTAAAGATAATCTTAAATTGGACAACTATGTATCCTTGTCATTCTCTATACAGAATGAAAAGGAGAGACTGATGTTAAATTAAGAGAATCATGCCAGAATCGCCACCATTAATGATTTTACTTGCAAGTCATGTTAACTTTGGGTTTAGTTCTTCTAAATTATTATTTTTAACTACTCATTGGTGGCGATTCTAGCATGATTCTCTAAGCCTAAACTTAAATTTGACAGCAGTATATTATTATCCTTGTCATTCTCTATAAAGAATAAAAAGGAGAGACTGATGATAAATTTAGTTTTAAGTTTAGAGAATCACGCCAGAATTGACACCACTATCTTTCTCGTTAAGTTCCTGTGAATTTAGTGTAATTTAACATTAAGTCTATTTTTGTAAATAAAGGAGAGTAAGTTAGTAAAATTATTAACAAAATGTATTGTTTGATTTAAATCCTGTGACGTTTTGAGCTTTAGATAGGTACGGACATTAACCTTGTAATTGATTTTAAATTATTTCGAACCGAATTACCTGAATAATATCAGCCCAGAAAGAACATGTATTATGGTGGGGGCAAACTTCTTGAGCAAAACCACAAACAATATACTTTAGCAGTAGACGATTTTGTATGAAATATAAAATTGTATGCTGCGTAAACTTTCTTGTCTATGGTCGATGCTCCAGTAAAACTATAAACTAAAACTTGTATAAAACTATACATCATAGAACACATTTAATTGGTATATATATTCCTTCTGTACGTCTATTCGCTAAATAAACGCGGAAGAATCCCTAAACAGGGATCCCGCGGCTTCGCACTAAGCAGCTTACAGGGTATTCGCAGGGGTTTTTAGCGGATAGTACGCCGTTAAGCATCACATTTTTAGCAAAAAATCGTAATTTTTGAGCGCCTCGTTTACCACCTTAGAAAAGATTTTGACTATTAGCTCAGAAGGAATATGCATTTATAGTGTATTAATAAAGAGAAAATTTCATATCCATCGATGCTATTCAGAACAAGTATATTAGTTGCGTTACAATAAAGTAGCAGTGGTGTCGATTCTAGCATGATTCTCTAAAGCTAAACTTAAATTTGACAACAGTGTATCCTGGTCATTCTCTACACAGAATGAAAAGGAGAGACTGATGTTAAATTTAGTTTTAAGTTTAGAGAATCGTGTCAGAATCGATACCATTGAATCACTAAATAGCTCGGTGATTTCCACTTCCATCTGTCAAAAGCAGTTATGGAATAGGCCTTCAGGTGGCAGCACTGAGACGAAAGGTCTGCTCATTCGTCAAATCGCCTACGTCTTCATAGTCATGGATCAATTTAAATTCTCGTCCACTGGTCAATATGGGAAATCCAAGGCCGTAAAATATTGAAAAGAAAAAATGCTCATCCAATTATTTTGCGTGAAGGTTCGCGCCGAAAACTTTTACGATGGCGCCAAATGGTGACGTACATTTCCACCATCATTGACAGAGTTGTTAAATCAAGTCATTCATATATTTTTTTCAATAACAATTTTCTAAAAGGGGATACGAATGATACAAAACATTTTAATTACGATAAGGTATTTATTCCATATGTCTATACATTTATCATCATTTTTAAACAACCATTTCACAGATGTGGCAGCACCACAACCTCTCTTATACTGATTTCGTTACAACAAAACTTTGGTTTTATTCATTTTCGTTTTGGGATTTTAATAATGCTTAATATATATATATATATATATATTAGAAACACTAAACATTGATATTTTTAATTTTATCCTTAATAGAATTAGTTTACTACAGTAAATATTAAAGTCTCTTCATATATCTAAGTTATGCGTTTGAAATACATTTTTTTATTTTTATTTTCCGATAATAGTCTTATTAACCAATTCATCGATACCAAAGACCTTTAATATTTAAAAAACAGTTAAAATAGTTTCTTAATAATATAATTAAACATTTAATACATTCACTTATTTGATAATCTATTATTCAAATAGTAAATATACTTTAGCAGAGTAACAATTACTGATGCTTGCATGTACGTGGTTCAACTGCAATTTGGGACGACCCACTGGCTTTTACCCGGTTTTTTATATATACTGGCAACTATTTTGTTTTGGTTTTAAATAATTCGATCCTGTCAATTATTCGCATAGGCAATCGAGTATCACCCATGCAAACTAAAATACAAAATCATCTAAAAGATTCGCAAGTGAGCCCTGATCTTACGAACATTAGCTTGATTTTATATTTTTTTTCCACACTATATCTAATTTTATACCTGATTTTGTTTTTATGGATTGCGAACGAGTGTGCAACCCCAAAGGCAGCTAAAGCCTCGACCATACTAGCATCAGGAAATTCCAATTCTTAATTTTTATAAATATACAAAAACACTTGGTCGTTTCATTTCAACTGAATGAGTAAAGTAAAGTGATCGAATTATGGGTTTAAAAATACTGATCCATCAAAGACTAGACAAATTTTAGAATCACAAAGTAAAAAATATGTGAAAATTGTGTGATTTTATTTTCTCCTTTCAAATATCTATAATAATAATCATCATTACAATTATTATTATTATATCAATACACTTAAATCTAGTCTCAAAAATCGAATGTAAATTCCACATGAACATTCATAATAATGTTTTAAAATGTTTCAACAGATTAAGTCAACTATATTTTAAACACTAATAATAAATATGATTTGTTGTTTAAAGTGACTTTACGATTAATAAGAGATTTTACATAATTATACATTTAATATTATACTAACCATCGACAATTTTATGCAAAAGATAAAAAAGACCATTCAAACCTTCGAGAAAATAAAAAAGTTGAAATTAATAAATTAAAATGAGAGAAAAACAAAATGCCGTCCTAGGTAACAAATACTACCCGTAATAAAAATAATTCTAAAAATGTATAAATTACTATCAATATTAAGTTGAAAAATTAGTCACTATCTATCCATTTAATACATCCAAGTAAAAGAAATCACTCTTAATTTTAACAATAATTAAAAAAAGGAAAATGAGAAAAGCATACACATGTTAATATAATAACAATCATGAGATATGTTAACGTTTGTATATCATATTATTTATGGAACTACACCAATCAATAACAAATATAATTTGAGTAAAACATGTAACTGCTTCGAGATTTACAAACAAACAGATTCAAACATATACTTAAATATATATTGTACGTTTAAACAATCCTTAGCTATAAATTTTAAGGAAAGCGTGAAACATTAAGTGTCGTGGAAGACTCACAGAAACTTGCGCGAAAATCAGCTATACCAAATTAAATGCTATTCAAAAATATGTTGTAGTCTTGAAGTCCAACCTATGACTTTAAAGCGTTAAATTGCTTGAGCCTGATCAACATAGATCATAGAGATTTATCCTTTTGTTGAGTATCATGTTCACGCAATTATCGCCTTAAAGTGTTAGGTAGGAGATTACAAAACAGTACACTAATTACGCTTATGGCACAATACATAGTTTCAAGTTTGTATACAAGCGTTTACGAACCATGGCGAATCGATGAAGCGACTTGGCTTCGCTAAAAACACCGAATTAATGCTAAAGATACTCCTTACAAAGTGGCAACGTTATGGCAAAACATTGGCTTACAAACTTCTTTTATAACATTAAAAATAATACTGGCATTCGTAACTCCACTACGAAAATAATTTTATTGATAAACAAAAAACAAAAATGAACCGATTTCTACAACAACAAAAAAATAACAATGTGTTGCCACTTTCAAAAATTACGTTAATCCCAAAGTTTCGTAATTATTTTAAACACATAACAGTCACATGCAGTGTTCCTTCGTTTTCACCACTCAATTTTGCTGGCACTCACAATAAGAGTTTTTCACTTGCCTATATGCAATCGCACTGTTTTCACTTAAAGTTACAAGTCAAAAATACTGAGTTCACAATTCCTCACATTGGAGTGGGTAAATAGAAATTAAAAATCTTAACACCTATTCATAGATTTCGACGGTCAAACCTCGCTTTTTATATAAAAAGCTCCAACTACCTTCGTGTTGTATGTACACGAACCGAGCAAATTAGTAAATATAGCTTTGCTATAACTCGCAGGATGTAGTCCAGACATTCTTATATTATAATAATTCTATATAAAACTTTTTAAGTTTCAGGCCACAGCCGTGAATGACCCTTTTGTACAAATGTACAAAGTTAAGGTGTGAGTTTTAACTTTCATGGCAATTCAATCCATCAAATAATTTGCTAGGTTTGTCGTTCTGATATTGCTGCAGCGAAGATATTATCTGATTAAATGTAAGGAAAAGCGAGTAGCATTCTAATAACATATTTATCATAACGGTTCTTTTAAGTTAGAACATGTCTCCAATCTTATATCGTGAAACATACTGCCGATAAGGCTATGATTATTTCATTTTAAATTTCTCGCTTTATGTAAAATAGCCATTTATGTAGCGTTCTTTGCTATGCTCATCTTCTGCAGTAATATATTATCTTTTTGTATAAACATTTCTGTGTGACTTCCATTCCCCATGATATTGTTTGAGCGGTACTTTTGCTACTTTGATCTTCCTTAGTAAGTACTGCATTCTGCCTGGTTACGTAATTGAGTTTCTAGTCTTTTTCCCCAGCACAGTATACTGGTAAGACGAAGTATGTAATATGGTATATTTTATTATTATAAATTGGTATTACTTATAAGTTTCAGATAGTCTTCGGTCTTAGGAGGTCCATCTCCTTGTGAAAGGATAGTATCTCAGAATTCTATACGGTTCTTCACCTGGCCGGTATGGTAAACCGCACTTATGACAGTATCCAGGATTTCCAGTATAATAGAATTGATTAGCTCGTCGCAAAGTATTTACGTCATATAATAATTTACTGTCGAAATTATAGTAACTAGTTATATGGCGTGCGACCCATTGTCTGTAATCATCAACGGTAGCAAAAGTTTGCGTTGATGAAATATCTGGTGTCATTCTTATATTCCCATAGTTCTCGATATTAATATTATTTGTAACATTAGTTTGTGTCGTAGCGTGTTTTAAATGGTATGCTCGTGGATAGAATTTATAACCACAGAACTCGGCTTCATTAATATCATGTGGGACGACGCATTGACCGTTCTGGGCAGCGTTAGAACAAGTTTGTGTTGCACTATGTTTTAAAAGTTTATATACTGTATTGTTAGTGGCACAGGCTTGTTTCGTAGCATGATTTATATATTGTATTTTAATTTTTATACGGCTTACGTGCTCTACTTTTAAACCGCATCGGCTTGTTGATGCTACTGCTTTGCCGCAATTGTTCTTATCAATTTTAATATGGGTTTGTGTTATAGCGTGTTTCATTCGGCATTCTTTATATTCTTTAAAGCTGGAGTGCTCTAGTTCTAAGCTACACCGGCTTATCGATGCATCTGACTCATATTCGTCATTTGCAATACTTGTTTGGGTTGTAGCATATTTTACACGAAGAAGTTTAAAATCTTTATAGCTTGAATGCTCCGAGTCTGTGCCATTGCGTACTTTTGAGGTGCGGCGACTTGTAGAAGCGTCCGTTTCCCATTGTTTTTCCTTTTTACCGTTTCGCTTCTTAGCCTGTCGTTTTTTATTGCATTTGTTACACTTTTTACATATAGAATGCTTAAATATTGATTTAGCACGTTTTTTATTGCACTTTTTACACTTTTCACTGTAAGACCACTCTGATTTAGAAATTGTATGGATTTTTTTAAACTTTTCATTGTTGCAACGCTCCGTTTCTGATCCACATCGACTAATTGTTCCAGCTTCTTTTGTATGGTATCTCTTATAGTTTTCGTTGCTTAATTGCTCCAATTTTCTAGTACATTGAGTTATCGACGCATCTGAGTCTTCCCATTGCTTGTCTACGTCGGTTTTGTCGCTGGTTTCTCCCGTATGGTGCGTAGTTTTGGAACTACGCTTATAGAGCGGTTAGTCTCTAGGTGCGTGTGCGCCGCCAGCTAGGCCGGCAGCTCGCGCGGCTCTATGGGCGCATCGTAGGGGAAGATAACACCACAGACAAGGGACTAGGAGACTGAGAAGAGTAACGCCCACCCAGCTAGAAAGACAACACATTTATTGGTTTAAAGAAACATTTTACTAGAAAAACACCGCTACTTAACTAGGGAGATCATAAAAGCACGATTTTACTTGAAAAGCAGCCCCACTTAACTAAAAAAACGATGAATCACCCCTACTTAATTAGAAAGATGATATGGGCAAGATTTTACTAGAAAACCACTCAACTAGAAAGATGATAAAGGCAAGATTTAATAAGAAAAACACCGCTACTTAACTTGAAAGACGCTATAATCAAGATTTTACTAGAATAAACACCCTTTCTAGTTAAAGATGATAAAAGCAAGGTTTTACTAGAAAAATCTCTCTTGTTATAGTAATTGCTAACGTTTTTGCGGTGAGCAAATCTCAGAAGGAGATAACACCAGACACAAGAGACCAGCTAGAAATACAACACATTTCTTAGTATAAAGAAAGGCTTTTACTAGAATACACACCCCCACTGAATTTAATGAGACGATAAGGCATGATTTTACTAGAAAAACAACTCGATCCTAAAATCAGCCTGGATTTTGAACCTGCACCTTTCGTTATGCGAGCGCACTGTGCTACTAAAACCCTATTAATATGTCTACAAAGCTGTTCGATCTTTAAATCTTAAAAAAATCTACAATAAACACAAATACACGCTCCAGATGACCAACAGGGTTCGAACCTGCGCCTTCTTTAATAAAACACATTTTTAAAGTAAAGGCATAAAAAATTGATTCCGACGACCGTCGGAAATAAATAAAATTTCGTGCATTAACCCGTGAAAAACTAGTTTTATTTAAAGGCCTTTTTTCCAATATTCTCAAATTTACTGGTTGCGTGATCGCAAAATCTAGCTTTTTATTAGTTTCAAAACGTGTTTTATTAAAATCGTATACATTGCCTGTAAATTTGAAAATTATAAAAATAACTAAAATGAACTTCTCACTGTCCCAGACACCAGATAGGATATCACGCGGATTTTTTTCTACTATTTTTTTTATATGATTATTTCTTATTTAAAGGCAAAAGATATATGATTGTTTCATACCGTTTGACGCAAGCGTTGGTAGGAGGTCCGCATTCGCAAGGATGCGTTGCAAATTCCCCTTCCGCATCCGACATACAGTGGTATACCATGCACTGTAGAAGATAATAAATAAATAATTAAATATTTATCCCAACATATTGTAATGGGAAATTAAAATTTTCCCGTCGGACCACTTGTACCATTAAGGAAGTATCATTGATGGTACAAATGACACTGATTTATCCCACTAGTACCTTAAAATAAATAACACACCCGCAGCTAAAAAAAGATGAAAGGTAGAAGTGCGAAAAGGGGTCCGGTGGGAAAAATTTACTTTAAGTAAATATACATCCGATTAGTTAATAATATCCCAAGAAGCCGATTCCATAATCAATAAAGTTTAAGCTAAAAAATAACTTTAGGTGTTACATGCATTCGATTATCCATTCTCTAGTTATAGGATACCAGGGTAATGTAAGACATTCGTATCCATACTAATATTCTAAATGCGAAAGTGTGTTTGTCTGTCTATTACCTCTTCACCACTTAAATCGCCGAACTGATTAAGATGGAATTGGCAATGGGGCAATATAATAGGTAAGCTCGCACTTTGGTCGCTTTGCAGCCAGCTACATTAGATCTCTAGGGGTGATCAACTGCCCCCCCCCCCCCTGCCCCCCGTTGCCACCAGCCCCTATTTTTATGGCGGTACAAAGTTCGCTGGGTCAGCTTGGATATATATAGATATATAAATAAAGATAAAGAACATTAGAAATGTGTTATATCTCACCTGAGCACACTTAATGCAGCTGGTGCAATCGATGCAAGACTTGAAGCAATCCGGGGCGAATTCGCACGCACCCGCCCTATTAGCGCTTTCTAAATACCATTCGTGACAATGTCTGAAACAAATGTTAATTTAATGATATTTACTTGATAAATAAATAGAGACAGTGGTGTCGATTTTGGCATGATTCTCTAAACTTAAAATTCAACATCATCTCTCCTTTTCATTCTGTATAGAGAAAGACAAGGATGCATTGTTGTCAAATTTAAGTGTCTGGAATAAAAATTGGGGAAAATTTTATTTTATTGGCTTTAAATTGACAAATAAATAAGTATTTCTAACACTCATCAATTAGTTTAGACCCAAAGTTAGGAATCTGGTGTGAATTTACACGAGTTTGCCCTATTAGCGCTTTCTAAATACCATTCGTGACAATGTCTGGAACAAATATAGGGGGAAATGTTACTTTATTGGCAATTACTTGATAAATAAATAGGGAGAGTTTCTGAAATAAATATAGGGGAAAATGTTACTTTATTGAGTTTAAATTGATAAATAAATAAGTATTTCTAACACTCATTACTTAGTTTAGATCAAAAGTTAGCATTCCGACGCAAATAGGGTATTTGACAGTGTTAAAAATAAAGTGCCAATTGTTGGTATCTGTGTTTAGAATGAATATTGGCAGGGGTTTTTACAAAAAAATATTCATAATTTCACTAAAGACTAACAAAAAAGAGAATAGTTTTCTTATCTATTGTCACGTGACCCAAAACGCTTGAGATTGGCGGAGCCTAAAATGAGGTCACGTAAGTAAACTTCTGGTTAAAGTGACATTACATTGTATCGTTTGACGTTTTAATAACAGTCGTGTGACGTCACACACTAGTAAGACGCCATATTGTCCAGAGAAACGTTTTCGCGGCAACTTGAAAATGGAGTTTTTGATTTGGTTATTTTTACCGAAATACACAACAGAATAAGGAATATCCACTTCTTACGGATTCTATAAACTAGAGTCAATAACGTGAGATCGGTTTTCTAAAACTTGTCAAATACCCTCGCGTCTGCCCTTTTAGCGTTTTCTACATATCGTTCGCGACACTGTGGAAAATATATCAACAGTGGAAAAGCAAAATCGCTTAAACGCCTTTAGCGTTGCTTGAAAATTAACTTAATTTCAGTTTTTGAAATGAAACTTCTTTAGGCACGCTTGACTTGGGGGGTAAACTTGGCGAATGTGTGACGATTTTTTCGTTACGCGCGTAACGCGTAACCGGTGTCTCGTCGGTAAACAATGAACAATACCCGTCACAAAATACATTAATAGTTCATGAATCAAATTATTAATGCTTGGTAGGTGATAATGGACCCAGCGCGGATTGGTGGGTGATAACGGACCCAGTGAGGAATGGTAGATGATAACGGACCCAGCACGGATTGGTGGGTGATAACGGACCCAGCGCGGATTGGTGGGTGATAATGGACCCAGTGCGGATTGGTGGATGATAACGGACTCAGCACAGATTGGTGGGTGATTACGGACCCAGCGCGGATTGGTGGGTGATAACGGACCCAGTGCGGATAGGTGGGTGATAACGGACCCAGTGCGGATTGGTGGGTGATAACGCACCCAGCGCGGATTGGTGGGTGATAATAAATCTAGCAGTTAAATGACTAACAGCAATTTCTTTGGATACATTTTTGAGCCGTTTGTGAAGGTCATACGATAAAATTTGATGTTATATTTACCGGCATTTGAGCCTCGCTTGGAATGTGTCAGCTGGCTTCTTTCCCGGCAATGGTGGCGGTGCGTACGAACACATCTTCTTTATAGACCCTAAACAAACAAACAAACAAATATGTTAATAAAATTTTAGAAGGTAGAGCTGATCAAAAATTCATTCAAAATCTTTCTTCTTCATATACCCTTTTGACAAACAATATATTTGGTAATCATCATTTTAGTAGTAAAAAAATATTTAGAAATAATATCTTGCGACCATGGAGCCTGTAAAGAGTCAATAACGTCAAGAAATGATAAAAGATTGTTTTAAATCATTTATTAATGCCCCCTCTGCTGGGGCACAGGACTTCCCTATGGAATAGGAAAGGGCTATGACCCACCACGCGAGCCTAATACGGATTAGCGAGTGGTAACAACAGCCGGGACCAACGGCCGCGACCTTCAAAAGCGTGGTTCGAGATAGTAAATTTTTGGTCACCCATCCGATGACCGATCATTGCGAAAGTTACTTAACTTTCACGATCGCAGACTGTTCGCGATAAATGCTTACGCCTTTGAGCTCAAAGTTAACATAAAACATAGATATAGACTTTAATTTAGAGATCGGATAATCGGATGCATATTTTTATTAAAAATAAAATCGCGAGGATCTCGATAATCGGATGTTATTTAAAGTTAATTGTAACTTTCCGATTGAGTATGTGTGTATGTAAGGAAAAAATACGATTTTTAATAATATTTATTTATTAAGACTGAGAAAAAACTTTAATCGGCTCATCTCTACATTGTCGCCGGAGTAGTTATGAATAATCATGTACTATTTAGTAATAGTACGAACTAGCATCCTTTATGTAAACGAACTTGTTCTCTTATATTGGTCTGTGTGTAAACGAAAGTTTTAAATCGAGTTTATGAACGCAACCTAAAGTGACATTTGGTTGACGATTTAGGTTAGTTATCAACTAGTCATAGCCAAAGCTCAATGAATGAAAAAAAAAATATCAAACAATATTAATTATCAATATTTGTTATTGTTTGTTTACAAATGTTTCGTTTTTATTTTATGTTTACAGTGCTAAAAAAAGAGTACCAAGATTTTTTTGCAAACCGTACTTTTCAAGCGCCATTTGATAAATGAAGGTCATTGGCTTTCCTATTCTTATTTGAATCGTACTATAAGTGAAAATAAATTTATTTATAAATTAGGACATCTTACACAATATTTTTATGATATACACACAGGGCAACCGTTATTTGTGTCAATCTGGGTTTATTAGATTTCACGGAGTATACACTTAAATTTGAATTTATCGGAATCGCGGGATATTTCGATAAAGAAGTGCTTTCCATAATAACCAACATCTCAAAGGAGATGTTTAATTTTTGGCCAGGTCTATAAACATCTTAAAAAATGGGATAAACAATAAGCATTCCCATATGAATAATTAGTTTCTTTACCTAATTTATTGGTACAATGAAGAATAATGCGGCGATTTTGCCGATGTCTTTATGTGGTAATATAAGTAATGGAAACATAGTAAGTTCAAAAATGTAATGTGTAAAAAAAGCGTAAGGAAACTAAAGTATACTCTAAAAGTCTGAACAAACTATAGTAGCTCAAAAAATATTATGGCAACATTTTTTTTATTTATGAGTATATATAACGTAAAAGAGTACTCAGAAAGATTTTGTTGTGTACTGTGCTGTTATTGTATTTCTGAACTGCTGACATTGGAGACTTCAGTATGGTCGCCAAACAGAAAGAATTTCATACTGTTGCTGTCACGCTTGCACACAGTACTACACACGGTACGTGTACGAGCGAGACAGCAACATAAGTGCATCTTAAGTAAATATGCATTCGATTATCCGATCTCTAACAGAAACATTTCCGTGAGAGTGTCGGTCTTATCGGTATTATCTATGGGATAGGCAGAGCGAGATTGAATGTCTAGGAATCGCAAGTTTCTACAATATAAAGGATATGTCGGCTACTTATCATTGGGTGGAGCATATGCTTGTTTTCACATCCATTTTACATATTGAAAACTCATGAGTAAAAAAAAACGCAAATTATGCGAAAATACCATGATTATCATTGTAAAACTCACCGGAATCTCTCTTGAGCAATGGTGGTTTGGTGTTTGGCGAAGATTTCTCTGAACTGATCACGCCCGACCCCATCTGGGGATACGTGTAGTCGTGGATCTGCAGATAAAAACACCATTTTATTAACAAACAACACGAATATCGTAGCGGCACTTTACACAGCTCGTATTCGCTATTTGTGAACTTGACAGCAGTATTTTTTTTTCATTTCGTATACGGCATGATAACCATGAACTGCTTAAATCTAAAAGTTTACTAGGAAAAAATTCCACGCGGACCAGGGGGCCATTCGCCTAACGCAAATACTTTGGAAAACGCTAACGCTTACGATTTCATTTTGTTATTTCTAGCCGCCTGAGGTTTTCAAATGCCTCGCGCTCTTTTTAGGGTTCCGTACCTCAAAAGTAAAAACGGAACCCTTATAGGATCACTTTGTTGTCCGTCTGTCCGTCCGTCCGTCTGTCAAGACCCTTTTTCTCAGGAACGCGTGGAGGTATGAAGCTGAAATTTATATCAATTACTCAGGTCTACTGTCCCTTGAAGCTGTGAAAAAATCAAACTTCTAAGCCAACGCAATCAAAAGATACAGCCGTTTATGCCGCAAATTTCGACACTTGCAAGGGAATCAAAACCTACAGGGTGCTTCCCGTGAACTCAGAATCTTGAAATTTGGTACCAAGTAACGTTTATAGCATAGATAAAGGAAAAATTACGAAAACCATAAATTTTTAGTTACATCACATAATATATTTTTTTTTAATAATTTTAACCTTACTACCCATTTCCTCATAAACGCGTAGAGGTATTAAATTGAAATTCATACCAAATACTCAGGTCTATAATACCTTTAAGCTGTAACAAAATCAAACTTCTATGTCAACGCAATCAAAAGAAACAGCAATTTAAGCTGCATATTTTGAAACTCGCAAGTACTCGCAAGGGAATCAAAACCTAAAGGGTACTTCCAGTCGACCTAGAATCTTGAAATTTGGCATGAAGCAACGTTTTATAGCACACATAAAGGAAAAATTCCGAAAACCTTAAATTTTTAGTTACATTACAAAATATATATTTTTTAATAAATATAAACTTATTACTTTTTTCCTCATGAACGCGTAGAGCTATCAAGTTGAAATTCATATCAAATACTTACCAGATTTCTAAATAGTGACTAAAAACTTAGTAAATAAATAACTTTAATAAAAGAACTTTCGCAAGTCTGCTGCAAGGCTAGTATAAGTGTTTCAGTTATATTATAGATAAATGATATGTGTTAATATAAAATAAAGGATTACTTAAACGATAAAGAGATCTTTGTCTTAAATTTATGCTCCTCCATCTTTCCCCATTGTAATGTTATGAATTTCATTTTGCAATAAAAATACCATAGTTATGACTCGATTGTCGTAATGAACGAACTTTGTAAACCTTGCAGGTTTGTACGGAACCCTCGGTGCGCGAGTCCGACTCGCACTTGGCCGGTTTTTTTTTTTTCTTTTGCGTTGGTAATAATAATATTAAAAAAATGAATGTGAGGTATTTGAAAACCTTCGGCGGTCAGAAATAACAAAATAAAATCGAAAGCGTTAGCGTTTTCCAAAGCATTTCCTTTAGGCGAATGGCGTCCTGGCAGCAGACGGGACTACTGTCAATAGCCAGGTTATGTTAGATGATTTCTAAGCATGTTTGTGTGTCTAAATTGCTTTCTCTACTCTAACATAGTGGGAGATTTTTGCATAATTGTTTAGTGAAAGACAAGAAGAAAGATTGTAATTTGCCAATATGTTTATATAAAATAGTATACACGACACGCTATGACGCTTTTAAAAATAACTTCTTATATAAAAAAAACTTCAGACGTAATAATTATAAAACTATACTGTTTGATATTTTAAATGAGTGGCGTGCGTGAGTAACCGTAAATAAAGGGTGGTAAGGACACATACCTACTTAGTTCTTAAATTAAGTAAAATATCCACTTACCGCTGAGAGGTGTACATAAGGACATCGGTCAGGATCTGAGTCATCCAAAGCTTTCTCTTCATACTGCGCTTCATACTGTTTCAGTGATTCTGAAAAATAATAATTTACAATAGGGTATTTGATAGTATTAAAAATATAGTTATTTAGATCACAAACTACATACTATATTTTAACTTTGGATTTCATGGAAACGCGGAATCTTTTTGACAACAAGTGCTTTCCATACCAACATCTCAACTTTAGGTTAAAATACATTTGATTATCCGATCTCTAATAATCACACACTAGTGTTTATAATTAGGGCTGCAACGATATATCGAGAAATCGATAATACCGAACTCAAAATATCGATATTTATAGTTAAGCAGCTTTCGCAATAGCCAATCAGATGAAGGGTGGGAAAAAAATATTGTCTTAAGTTTTTCCGTACTTCGGAAGACACGTTAAGCCGTAGATCCCGGCTGCATAGGCTGCATCGTTAGCAGCGTTGCAGGTGGCCACCAATAATATTAACCGCGTGGTGGTAATGGCCCAATTTCCCTATTCCATCTATAGAGAATGAATTATGATGATGAATCTTCACAAGTATAAATACGAAAGAGAGTCTGTATGTTTCACTCTCACGACAAAAGGCGTTAACTAGTGAATTCCGATTGTAAATTATAAACAATACGAATTCCACTTATCTATGCCCCGTTTTACTACAACCAAGGGATTCTCTAACATTAACATTTTTGCGAACTCAGTCACAGTTAAAGAACTTCATCATCAGCCTATTAATGCCCCCACTCCTGGGGCACAGGCCTTCCCTATGGAAGGAATAGGGAGATTGGGCCATGACCCACCACGCTGGCCCAGTGCGGATTGGTGGGTGCTAACGACTGCAGATGCAGCCGGGACCAACGGCTTAACGTGCCTTCCGAAGCACGGAGGAGCTTGAGATATTAAATTTTTGGTCACCCATCCAATGACCGACCACTGCGAAAGTTGCTTAACTTCAACGAAGCAGCCGAACGCGCTAACCACTTGCGCCACCGAGCTCGCTAAAGAACTTGTCGATGTGCAATAAGCTTTTTTTTCCGTTAGTACTTAAGAGGGGAGGCGGGCAATGTTTTTTTCATACAAACATTCACGACCGATTCTTCCTTGATCTTTATCACTAAAGAATTGATTTTCATACATAAAATATAATTTTACTCTTTCTATGCTCCTATGTCTTCCTATTTTCATTATATTTAAAGAAACTAGAGTTACTACTAGTTAGGTTATTTAAGAAAACAAGTTCCACTTCAGATGTGTGGTCCGTGCCACGGTCCGTGCACACTATTTTTTTATATTATTGTTTACTATATTCTCGTCAAAACTCACCTGGTCTGTGCCTCGGCAGCGTGATGGCGGATAGTATCGGCGTCTGCGTGAGTTCGTCGCGCCTGCTTCGACTCGCCGTCGAGTTTTCTGAGCTCGACCGCGAGTCGGAAGGCAGGTTCAGACACTGTTCACGAGGAAGGAAAACAGATGGTTAATTCAGGTTGAAATAGATATACAGTAGACCCGCGTTAAATCCGGACCCCGTCTAATCCGACGCCCCCGATAACCCGACTGTTGATTTGCACATAGAATTAATTGAAAAATATTTTTAGATTTATTAACAACTTTCGCAGTGGTCGGTCATTGGATGGGTTACCAAAAATTTACTATCTCGAGCTCCTCCGTGCTTCAGAAGGCACGTTAAGCCGTTGGTCCCGGTTGCATCTGCAGTCGTTAGCACCCACCAATCCGCACTGGGCCCGCGTGGTGGGTAATGGCGCAATCTCCCTATTCCATTAATCCAGGGAAGGCCTGTGCCCTAGCAGTGGGGACATTCATAGGCTGATGATGATGATGATGAATTTGTCGGAATACAAGGTACTCTTATTTCAAAAATTCCGATCTATAGAGGGTGGTCTTAGGCAGTAAGTACTCTGTAATCCGACAAATTCGATATTCCGACATCGCCCTGCAAAACGTTTGTCGGATTACCGCGGGTCTGCTGTAGATAGAATAAGTTCGGTTCGCCCATCCAGTTCTTTGGCCATCTTGTTTAAGAGTTATATTGCCAGAACTTTCTAGGGCTAAAAGGCCTTTTTTTATTCAACAACTATACGTAAGAGAGCGCCACTATATTTATAGCATTAGCGCAAAAAGTTACGCGCCATGATCTTCTCGCGCTCGACTGTAAAATTCAGAAAATGACATTTATGACTTTAAATATAGATAATGCGACTAGATTAAGATGGTATTCACACTTAGGTAGGGCGTTGATCCAAGTTCAGACACTGTTTACAAGTAGATATAATTTCAATCCAGACCCCGTAGCATGAGCACCATAATTTACATTATATCACATTTTTATCGCGTTTAACCGTCAAACTTCATAGTAATTTGACAATTGAGCGTTATAAAAACGCGTTTATATATCTTAACGCAGTACTCATGCTAGAAGGGGTAGGTTCAGATATTGTTAAGATATTGATCCACATTCAGACACAATTCACACTCAAATAAAATAAATTTGGACTTTATTTTCTCATTAAATTCTATGAAGAGGAGCGAGTTAACTAAATAGATCAAACCCCATCGCAGCATAGCTTGATGTTGATTAGTCACCTCAATCACCCTTTTTGATGAGCTTGAACCAGTTAAACAATGTTTTGTCGCAAATACATCTTGAACGAAACACTACGTCCCTAACTACTACGGCATTTTCCCAGAGCGACAAAAATTAGGAGCGGCAAAATTGACTTAGGGTCATCCATAAAGTACGTCACACATTAAGGGGGAGGGAGGGGGTCGACGAAGTGTACAAGTGACAAGGGGTAGCGGTCTAATATTCGGAATTGCTGTTTAATTTTAATAAATTCACCTTACCTCAAATATATTTTGTTCCTCATCATCTTCTTTGGGTGCTGGGTACAGTTTTTTGTACGCGTGAAGTGATGGCCACGCCCCACCCAGACCTGAGTAAAAATAAATATACTTAGAACGAATTAAAAAAAACAGACACTCTTGAAAAAAAAAAAAGTGTTATTACTTATGAATATGAGCTAGAACAAGGATATTCCTATAGGTTTCCAAATCGATTTATTCAAAGTTAAATAATTATAATTAAAACAAAATAAAACAAACATTAATCATGTAAGGGCCATTTTCGTTGAGTTAAACTTTAATAGTGTGAAGAAATTCTAAGCATAGGTACAGATAGTGCACAAGCAATTATCGACTTAATCTTTAAAGTAGTACTTTTCTAAAAATATTAACATATTTTTTGTCTTATTAATTTTTATGTAACGGGACGTGGAAAGGGTGCTAAAAATGTACGGCCTGTCCAACGAATATTTATTGGAAGATTCATTTTGGATTTTTTGTAATAAAATTTTCTACTATGCAGCCAAACGTACTTCAGATTGGCCTTGGAACATCAGCCTTATTGTTTCAGACCGGCCAAGAAATGTTATCCTAATTGTATTATTTCTTTATGTACAGGCTACAGTAAGTCCAAACATATGCAATTGCTCTAGGCTACTGAAACTTATATTTCGCTCGCTCGCGCGCAATTATGTTGCTGTCACGCTTGCACATAGTCCTACACACGGTACGTGTGCGAGCGAGACAGCAACATAATTGCGCGCGAGCGATAAGGATGGGTAGCGTGGGGTCATTGTACGAAATTCTTTCTGCCCGGCGACCGTACTTTATTTACATCAAGCGAGTCGGGGGGACCCACTAGATGCGGATGCCTAGAGGATGATGATTAGGGGCCCTAAAATGTGTGACTATTTCGCTTGCCGCCTATACATTTTTGTTAAAGATTTTAATCGTATCAGGGAAAGAGATTTGAAATGTCACATTGACATTTTTGTAAAGCTTTTAAGGTGATGGGTTATGATGATGATGACTGATGTGTTGACTGACTGGACATAGAGAAATATAATACAATTGTTATGAATTCTACTTAATTATCTTTAACGGTGGCACTTCACTTGGCTATTCGTGTTTGCTATTTGTGAACTTGTCATCAGTCTGTCCTTTTCATTCTTTATAGAGCGTAATAAGGACAGACGTGTTGTCAAGCTTACAAACATCACATGATCACCAGCCTATTCATGCTCCCACTGCTGTGGCACAGGCCTTCCTTATGGATGGAATAGGGAGATTGTGCCATGACCCACCAGGCGGGCCCAGTGCGCACCAACGGCTTAACGTGCCTTCCGAAGCACTCGAGATTTTTGGTCACCCATCCAATGACCAACCACTGCGAAAGTTGCTTAACTTCAACGATCGCAACCGAACGCGCTAACCACTTGCACCATCGAGCTCCTCAAACAGCCAATACGAATACCCATGTGGAGTGCTGCAATATAGTAGTTTACTCACCGTGAAGAAATCCAGTATACGGGAAGGGGAGGCAAAAAGAAAGCACATTAGATAAATTAGTTCACGAAAGTAAGCAGTTTTCTATAGCACAAGTATAGACTTAGGTTTTGCAGCAAAGTTGTTTAAAAGCTAAACATGTTTATAATTCATTCTATCTCTATTTAACTTTAGACAAGTGACAAGGATAGAATGACGTATTGAACGCGATAGCCTTAATTTGAATAAAGAATGTTGATGCGGAGGCCTTAGGGACTGCGTTACCTTAGACTATTTATAGGCAGAAACATAGATATACAATTTTATATGCATACCAAAAGATAGTACGTATATATAAATAAATATAAATCATAGAGCAACATGACCGACATGGCCAGGAGGGGATAAGTCATATATAGCTTTCCCCTCTGTCGCATTGGGCATAATCACGTCATATGTGCGCACGATTTGGCGATGTATTGTGTCATTGTTTATGTGCGAGTGTTGCAGTTACAGCTTTGTTTCTGACCCATGTACGTTTAACTGTATTTGTGTGCATATTGCCCCCTGCCAGAGTGTTTTGGATAGTATTATGTCGCTATGGCTATTCCTTCCGTGTTGCTCTATGATATAAATACATTGAGAAAAATAAAAGTGCAATTCGCGTCCGTCTATCTCTATGGTTTGATTATGCATACATACATACATACATACTGATAAGCCTTCGTTTCGCGTGTTTTTTTATATATAGGTCCGACAAAAGACTCCACCGCACCTAATGTTAAGTGATGGTGAAGTCTAGATGCGAAGATAGCTGATACAGCAGTTCTACCTGCCACACCAGCCATCCTCACCCTGCCGGCCTGCATGTTGCTTCTTCACGCCTCTTTTAAAGGATCCCAGGTTGTAAGAGAGAGGGAACACGTGAGCGGGCAAAGCGTCGGCGAAAACTAGATTTTGTTCTCAAACATTCTCATAAATCATTAGATGCTAATGCTGAAAACTCCGTAAAAATTCCACGCGTCCGCAGCTTGTATTTAGACGTTGATTTGGGTCATAATTTTGGCACTTTAACGATGAGTGAATAAGAATTAAAACAGACAATTCCATGGTCTATTTCGATCTACATCTGTGATTCTCACCGTCCACAAAGGAGAGCTTTGGTTTCCCTTTTCATTGGCATAATTTTGGTACTTTGTATGAGTGAATGAGCATCAAAATAGGCATTAAGTATCAACATAGGCAATTGGTCTATTTTGACCTACGTCTGTGATTCTCACCGTCCACAAAGGAGAGCTTTGGTTACCCTTTTAATTGGCATTATTTCGGCACTTTGTATGAGTGAATGAGCATCAAAATCACACTAATATTATAAAGGCGAAAGTTAGTGAGTGTGTGTGTATGTTTGTTACTTCTTCACGTCTAAACGGCTGGAGGGATTTTAATAAAATTTGTTATGGAGTTAGCTGTCACCCTGGATTAACATATAGGCTAGGTTTTACTGCCGTGAAATATCCTTAATAAACCGCGGGTAACACCGCGGGGCACAGCTAGTAGGCATTAAGTATCAACATAGGCAATTGGTCTATTTTGACCTACGTCTGTGATTCTCACCGTCAAGCAACTCTTCTATAGCGGTCCGGACGCCTTTATCGAATGCTCTCGCGTCTTTACAGCTTGTTACGCCGTAATTATTATTAGGTATATTTTTTTATAGCGATTGTCATCTGATATTGGAAACGAAGTTCTACTACGTCTTTGATTCTCACCGTCCACAAAGGAGAGCTTTGGTTTCACTTTTAATTGGCATAATTTTGTCATTTTTAATGAGTGAATGAGCATCAATATAGGCAATAAGTATCAACATAGGCAATTGGTCTTTTTAATGATTGATAATGATTCTCACCGTCCAGCAATTCTTCGATAGCGGTCCGTACGCCCTTATCGAATGCCCTCGCGTCCGCTGCCGTCTGGAACGTGAGTCCGAACCGTTTCTCGTCCGTCACCCAATGGTGGAAGGTCGGCATCACCTTGTTGTACTGGAAGTCCTTCTTTATAGTGCATTCTAACACCACCTGGGGGATTTTTGGTTATATATGAATGAAACATAATACTAGCAAAGTTTAGAAAAAAAGCAAACGTGAGTGTCGTGGAACACTCGGTTGAAACGAAGTTGAAAATAGACATTACTATAAGTACACAACTACAACAAAAGCTTCGAAACAATTGATGGTTGTAATGGAAAAATCTTAACACTTTTTTTCGTCTAAGTCCGTACCATACAAAAAGGAACTTAGTTCTAACAACAGTGAAAGAATCTGTGTATTGACTACGTTTCTGGCAAATCATCATTACCAGCCTATTAACGTCGTCACGGCCAGGGCACAACATGCCTTTCTTATGAATGGAATAGGAAGATTGGACTATATTAAATAAAACAAGTTTCAACGGTATAAATGCACTGATTTATTTATTTATTGACGTTTCGCATTCTTTTCAGCATGCATCATCTGAATTATTATTATTGGACTATATTGTTTTAAAACTTTCATGGTCACTAACATTACAGTTAAGTATTTATGTTATTTGTATTTTGTATTTATTGTTACCATGTAGGTATCTTGTTTTTAGCAAGTTTCTGAATAACTGTGCTCCGTGATCATGGCGCTTGCAACAGTGTGGAATTATCAAAAACTCGCCGTAAATAACATAGATTGGAGTATGACCTACCACGCAGGCCCAGTGCGGATTGGTGGGTGCTAACGACTTCAGATGCAGCCGGGACCAACGGCTTAATGCTAGCCATATACACTACGAGAAATCGTTACGATCAGACTGTACAGTCCGAACCTGACCGATAAATCGTAGCGTGTATGTTATAAAACTGCACAGTTTCCTATACGTTCGCCACGTACGATAAACTGTTCCGTTCGAACTGTACAGTCTGATCGTAACGATTTCTCGTAGTGTGTATGGCTACCATAACGTGCCTTCCGAAGCACATAATATTTCTTGTCACCCAACGGTAACAACCAGTTAACATCGTGCGGACGCCACGCTGTCAGCGAATAAATGAGTACTTTTACAAATTATGTTTTAATTATGTAAATGGTATGCCACTGACAATGCGACCAACTTCTCTCGCGGATAGCGCGCAATCTATGTGACCTGAAGAATAGTAGAGCAAGAAATAGGATGCTCTTGTTTTATATAATTCTTTTAGAATTGTTAAGTTCGTTGGTATATTAATCTTTAGTCAAAATATGTGTCATCAACCTAAGACCCTGCCAGAATATCAGCGCTGCAGCAGCCTCGGTGTTGCTGTAGTATTAAGCTGAGGCAGGGGCCTAGCTGGCCTGTTTTTCTTTCTTATTTATAAAAAAAATGTGCCTACAAACTTTCTTTCATTCCGTGTGCTGCTTCTGGTAGGAGAGTGTAGTAGGAACAGGAACAAATGCTCAGTTAAGATACAGCAGTTATCTCACCATGTTATCGCTGATCCGCTTCCCGTGTATGTAGTATTCGTGCGCGAGTGCGGTCGCGGGCGCAGATGATGCGTCGCCATTCTCCTCAACACCTGACGATGAAACGAAAAGCAAACGTGAGTTTCGCGAAACGCTCGGTTGGAACGAAGTTCATATATAAAATATCCATGTCGACCAGGCAGTAGACGGGAGCCTATATTCATAAATTTGCGTACTATTCTATAGATATTGTAGGTTATTGTGAAGTGTTGTGAGAACAATTCCTGTAGAAGAGATGATTATCGGGACTGTAACTACAAGAGCCTACAAATTCTTAAGATATATTAATTCTTAACTTAGCTAGTTTTTTTTTGACGTGACAACGTCTTATACTTCGATGGAACCGGCTGCATGCACGAGGCTTGAAGTGCAAGCGAGAGCGCGCAATGAGCGACAAAGAGGCACAATCCTCCATAAAGAGGCCTCCGCGTTCGGCAGCGTTGGGCATCTGTCTCTCTCCTACTTCAGTGAACGATGCATCCGCGTGGACAGGTGCTATACAATAATACATTTATATGCTTCTGTCAGTCAAGTATGAAGTGCAGAGAAAATTGCACATTCATAGTTGTAAAAACTATGTACATTGTAAAAAAACGTTGTCACGTTCAACTATCGCCAGTAAACCGATTTTACAGACAACCATTTTTTTGATAATAATAAAACTGAAGAACCAAATAGAATTTCGTTTACTTTAACCTGTCATCACCGCTATCTATTATGTGTGTGTATATTGTGAGTTTTGGAAAATTTTAGTAACAGACACCTACTATAACAGCTTGCCTTACCAATGGCAAATGTGAATTCAAGTAAAAAATCTGAAGTCATGCCTTTTTGTTTAGATTCATCCTTAACTTAGGTAGTTTTAAAGCCATTATAGTTACCGGGGGGTGCGTGTCTTCGCCGGCCGACCATGACGTCGGCCAGGCCGCCGCCACCCAGCGCCACCCACCCGCCCGTGCCCTCGTCGCGACACATCACCTGCGCGCGCACCCGCACCAGGTAGGCACTGGAACAACGCGCGTACGCATCTTTCATTACCTTCAATACATAAGAACACACTGACACAAGTTCAAAACATGATGATGTGGCATCATTAAGCGCATTCTACCGACTATACCACGGCGAGTGTTCTGAGGAGTTATTCTCCCTTATCCCTCCGTCACCATTTCTTCAGAGGACCACGCGCGCTGGACTGCGATGTCACCGACTTACTGTGGCCACTATTCCTATACGAATAAAGAAATTTGGTGACTCGTTTGTTTGTCGTTCTATTCGGGAGTGGAATTCTTTACTAGCGCACGTGCTTCCCCCGTCTTACAATCTGGGCTCCTTAAAGAGAGGCGTGAAGAAGTATTTATGTAGCCCTGCAAGGTAAGGATGGTTCATGTGGCAGTTTACAACTTCTGTACCAGGTATCTTCGCCTCTGGACTTTATTATCATTTAACATCAGGTAGGGTAGTCATTTGTTTTTATTCGCTACATAAAAAAAATACATAAACCGTTTTATTTCAAAACGTAGTCTAAAGAACAGAAACGCATTGAACCGTAAACGAATCGCATTTTTTTATGACATTAACGAATTGCGCTAAAGTTTTGACAGCTAGTTGGGATGCAAACGTATCACGATTGGACCGTACTCCAATGAACTTCAGTCAAAAACCTAAAGTAGATTGCAGTTGAAAGGTGAAAATTAGCGCGATACCGATTTCGTATTGTGTTGCAATTAGAATTGGACTAGATTGGACCATGATTGAACTTAGGCGGATCGTTTAAAATAACAAATAGCGCGGTGGACTGCTGGACTAAAACCAGTCACTTTTTTTTTGGTAAAAAGAAGATAGAGATGAAAATCAACATTACGTTTTAACCAAGAGTAACTTTAGCTCGCGTTTTAGTATAAGGCGAAAACTGCCTTTATTAACCCGTTATGATCATAGAGCAAGACAGAAGGGAAAGGGAAAGCCACATATTTTGACTGAGGTGTAGATTTTGTGAAGTTAGGGCGTGTAGAGTTAGAAGCTTGACTCTATAGGAGATCTGATAACTTTTAGACATTTGTCATTTCAATAAGTTGAGTCCAGTTGTACAGATAGCTCGGCATAAAGGCTGCCGCTTCAGCCATCCTTACTTTGCCAGCTCCAAAGAACCCATACAACTTACGAAATTTAACACCATAAAAAGATAGCGTTATCTCTTTGTCTTGTATGATCTCAAATTCTAAGCTGGGAGTCCTTATTGAGTAAACAATAGGGACTGTATTTGCCTGCACTAATCATGCTACTTACAAAACTACATAATGAATGTCTGAATGGATTTAGTAGTATTGATAAACACACAATCAGTAGACACAAAAGTATTGCTTGTTTTGTGTAAAAAGGATGGCAAAAATGGTCTAACAAGTATAACCTAACCTACCCCATGAAGCCTTGGAAATTTTATGGTAAATTCATACTTACGCAAATTCAAAGCACATCGAAGCGAATTTAAGAAAAGTACCAGAGCAAATTCGCTATTATTTTCGCAACGTATTGTAAATACTCCTTCCGAGATAAAGAGACTCGCAAACTTAGCTAATTATCAACTCAGAAGGAATATGTGCATTACGGTGCTGAGATAAGGGTGAACTTGCTATGTTACTGTTTCTACAATTTGCTTCGATGCGCTGGTATGAACTGACCATTACTCATCCACAGCAACACAACACCACCAAAAAGGTAGTATTATTTCACTGAGTTCTTCTGTAAAGTGGAGGTTACTTGGAAAGACAGGCGCTCTGATTCGAGCGGGAAGTCTGCTATGCGACATAAAAAATATACTGCCGTCCTCAAGCTAAAACGCGGCAAAATGACAAAACCAACTTTTGAGATATAGCCAAAAAAACGGCGCGTAAACTTTAAATTATTGCTATTTTGTAACCATTCATGACATGACGGATTTTTAGACTTAAACTATAAAAGTTACGAATACTTCTTAAAGACAGATCAATACAGAATTAAAAACCGTATAAGATGCAATTTTATACTGAAAATCGACCACATATCACTTAACCGCACCTAAGCTTGAGGACGCCAGTATAGCTAACCTTTCTTATGTCATGAATGTTTTGTGACGAGATCAATGGGAAACTGAATGGTTGTTAGTAAAGACTAGGATTATTTCTGTCAATCATCATCATCAGCCTTAATAGTCCCCACTGCTGGGTCACAGGCCTGCACTAAGGATAGAACATGAGTCCATTGAACCACTAAGTGCGGATTTGTGGGTGCTAGCGACTGTAGATGCCAGGATCAATGGGTTAACTCGAGATAATGATTTATGGACATCCCAGCCTATGACTGGTCATTGCGAAAGTTAGTTTGAATCAGATTGTACGCGTCAACCGCTGTACCATGTTTCTCAATAGTGCTGGTTTTCAACTAATGTCTGTATAAAAAGGATTTGCATAAGATCCCTTTTCATAGAGCCGACAATACAAGTTTTACCTAATAGCTACCAGTTGAAATACAGTTAGTGTTTTAATTCAAGCAAAAAATTACTTGTTTGTTATCTGAAAAATCTTATGAATGTGTAATTTATTTCATTATTAAATTAGTATTATGATTTTAAAAATAAAAAAAAAATGCTTACTCTTGATCTATTCTAATAATTGTTGAAAAAAAGGTAGAGTCAAATAAGGTGAGAAAATTCATATTTCTTTTAAGGTAACCTATTAAAAAAATTCAAAACTGTGTCTCACTGGATAGATATTATAATAATGTTTATTTTAGGTACATACGAAGCAGGTACGCTGGAACTCTACATTTTGAATTTTTAGTAAAAATAGCAAAAAAAAAAGATAATTTTAATTTTACATTTTTATATATAAAATGAAATGAGAACAGTGCTTGTTATTTGCCCGTTTTTTTAAAAGGGCTTAGTAAACAGCACTTGAACTACAATTCACTGCACCCCTGAACTCTACATTTTTTTTATTTAATTCTATTAAGCAGATTTTAAAGATCTGATCTACTAATAAATATCTCAATTTAAAATGAGAACAATGGCCCTGCAATTTGGTTGAAGGCTGCAGCCTTCAACCAAATTGAGTGAGATGCATCTCACCAGATGACAGGAGAGCAGACTCCAGATTCCAAAAAACGTACAATGGCAATTAGTTTAACAATGGTAGATGTTTTGTTAAATTATTTAGTCTTAATATAAATAAAATAGAGTTATATATATAAAGAGTATACAATTAATTAAACAAATAATCAATAAGGCCTTACAATTAAAAATAATAATTTCATAATACATCACATACACAGATAAAACTAACTGCATTAATTGGATATAAAAACAATTATTGATTTGTTTAAACATTTTATTTTTGAATTTTTGATCATGTTGTTTAAAAGTTTCAGCTAGTTTTAGAATATAAAGACTTATAGCAGATAGTGTTTGATAATTATGACTCTCTTTTTAAAGAAAAAGAGATAATAAAGAAAAAAGATAAATAAAAGCATTTATATAAGGATACACATGTTACAAACTAAAACTTTGTACAGACTGTAGCAAAGATACATAATTCTATAAAAAGAAGTCAATAAAAAAAATATGAAGTACATTTTAAAAATTATAATCTAAAATAAGTGGGTCTAAAAACAGCTGAAAATCTGCATTAATTAAATAATGAAGACAAAAGACATTAATTCTAAATTTAAAACATAATGACAACATAATAGAGCAAAGTATTTTAAAATCAAGAATTTAATCAGCTGTTAAGATCTGACTCTTTGTGCCTTGCAAGTAGGTTGATATAATAAAATCCACATTTCTTAATATAATTACCAAGATGTGTGGGAACGTAACATTCCTCTAGCCATTAACAATGAATGAGTAATCATTTTTAATTGAGTATTTTATAAACTAAAGTGGCGTGAAAAATTACTTCGATTTTTTTTCTCATCTGTCAAGAGGTACCCAAAATGTATACAGCCAGTATTTTATAATCACCACTCTGATCCCATTTGACTGAAATTCACTCATTCATCTAGACTTGTATTGAATAAACCTAGCTCGAAATGACCCCGAAAGATGCCTACATTATTGTGAATGAAACGACGACTCATTGATTATAGCTATACAGGGACACCGTGACCCTAGGGCGGCGGTCGTATCTCCAGTCTACGGTTTTCATGGGACACCTAGCTTAAATGTAACAAGCACACCCTGCCACTAGTCACCGAAAGACTCAAGGGGTCCCATAGAACACCATAAATCACATTACACATTCCGTGGTATATGGAAAATGGCCGGGATAAGGCCCTACCTGCCCATAGAAGGGCGAAGCATAATTTTGCGAAAACTGAGTTATTCTCACACCACTTACTTTTCAGATGCCTCGGTCATGATTCGACACGTCGAATATCCTAATTTCTACTCGCCACTTCACAGATTTCACCATTTTTATGACATAAATACATCAGTTTCACTTGCAAACCGTTCTTAATTCGGCCCTTTGTTGGGCCTCAGTGCGCGTGCGTCAATAAAACAGTCTGGGCTTTTCAATGAATACGAGTTAACCGTGCGACAGGTGGCGCATCAGTCGCGCGCAAATTCGTCAATCTGCTTTGTTATTGGCCTTCTCACTCAGTCCAACAATTTCCACCAATGACAGCGTTGCGTTGTCAGTATCGGCCAATAGCGTCAGTTCACTGGTAGAGACAATTTAAAGCGCGAGTTTTGAAAATTGTAGAGTTTTGAAGTAATTTTTATCTCACCCTTACTTCTTAGCGCGTATACTTTAAAACAGATTTTCTCAAGCGTTCTAGCACCATAAAGGACGAAGAAAAATCACTTCACACACAAATTCGGTGTCGAAAATCGTGGAAAACCGGCAAAATTTGTTGCACCACCTAACTAGGTCACGACGGCCTCGGGGGTTCGACTATTACTGAATGGAGCCTCGCAATGGGCCCATCCCCGTTCATGCACCGACCCATTGAAAAATAAATAGGTCAAATCATTGCAGTGTGGCCTAGATGTGGATTCCTTGCACCATTCACAGGCGGCGCTTGCATAGTAGACCCTAGGTTCAGTTCTATAAATAGCTGCTCTATTTTTGGGCAGGTCATTCGCAGCATCGTGGATACAGCCTCCATAAGTAGGTTACCTGATTTTCTTTGTTATTAGCCTGCACGGTGACGTAGTTAGGTGCCGGTGGTGACGTCAGAAATTTTCAGCGAAATAACCGGTATATTTTTTTTTTTTGATCCGGAAGGAGGAAAATGCATGTATGGAAGAACAAAAGATGTAACTTAATAAATCTTGAGCTGTAAAAAGTGCTCTTATTTAATTCTTTTATTGTAATGAGATTTGGTAAAAAGTCGATATCATTCAGTAGAATCATTGTAGATACACATTTACGTTGTGAAGGTATGTTTGATTGTATTAGTTTTTTTAAATGTTGATATTATTTTTATTTTTTACTTTTGAATTATGTGTTTAGCATAGTAAAATGGGTACTAAGTTTTTAGTTATAAGTAAAGTATAATCATTAGTGAGTTTTAAACAAAAGAAGAAAGAATAATTAGGACTCTGGCTTGAAACAATATTAATTTTAATAATAGAGACCACCTACTTGAAATTATTAATTAAACTTGATTTTAAAAATTATTTGAAATAACCAATGCGATATTGGAGGTACTTAAATTAATGTAGCACTTAGGTACACAAATTAAAATTTTGGAAGGTTTTAGAAAATATTTCCAAGCTCCCAGTTTCATTGGTAAGTAACATAAAACTATGAATGCATTAAATTTAAATTGCCATTTTTTTTCTTGTATATTCAAGCGCTTCTTGCCCCACCCCTTTAGCCTGCCGGATCCGACCAAATATGACGTATGCACTAGAAGGCCGTTACACTAGTGACCTAGATAAACCTATAAACAAAGACTGAAATTATTGATGTTCTACCAAACATCGACTCTACATGAAATTGTAGGAGATTGAAGTAATAAATTAAACCAAAAGGACTCACTTATCACTGATATTTTTATTTCCTCAGCAGCCTATTAATGTCCCCACTGGTGGGGCACATAGCCTTCCTTAGAGATGGAATAGGGAGATTTGGCCATAACTAACCATGCGGGCCCATAGTGGTTTCATCATCAGCCTATTTATGTCCCCACTACTGGGGCACAGGCCTTCCCTATGGATGGAATAGGGAGATTTGGCCATAACTAACCATGCGGGCCCAGAGTGGATTGGTGGGTGCTAACGACTGCAACTGCAGTCTGGACCAATCGCTTAACATGCCTTCTTCATACGGAGGAGCTCGAGATAATATATTTTAGGTAACACAAACCAATTGCGCTATCAAGCTCCTTAAACTTATTTAATAAGAAAATACTCTCGTGGCTGCCAGGCTGAATTTAAACTCGCGCATTATTATGGTAAAGCTTGGGGGGTAAGCTGGCGAATGTTTTACGCGTTACGAAAAGTGTGTTCGGGCAAGGCGAACGGGAGGTGAGTGGGGGATATAAGCAAGAGAAAGCAGTGCGCGCGCACATTTTCTTTCTCTCTTTCTCTTATAGCTAGTAAATGAAATATGTATATGTACATGCATGTATATATTGTACATATCTTTATATATATAATTCTTCTGTGAGTGTGTATGTCACTGAACTTCTCTTAAAAGACTGGACCGATTTTGATGAAATTTTTTGTGTGTGTTCAAGGGGATCTGAGAATGGTTTAGATTCACAATTTTGTCCGCTGGACAACCCCTATTTTTTTAGGGCGGTACGAAGTTCGCTGGGTCAGCTAGTATATATATATTACATACAGATGGAGCTAAAGAAGTTTCACTTCAGTCGTGTGGTCATAAGCACACTCGTTTTTTTCTATTAGTACACTTAAGTACCTAGTTAATGTTTGAATTAAGTCTTTCCAAAGTTTGATTTTAATTGTAAACCTTTTAGATCATTTCGTATAGAAGTATGCGATACCAAAATATCACTCGTGTGTTACCTACCTTTTCCCCATCCCCTACCGCGTGGAGCTATTGTAACCTTTCTCACCGCAGTAATATTCAACACCACCAAAAGATAATCTATTCCACTGTGCTCTTTTGTCGAAACAAACACGTATATAAGTATTCGATATTGTTTTAGTAACAGTACGAGTTTCAGTTCTGATTTTTAAATAGTACCTAAGTGTTTGTTATTTTGTATTTTAGTATTGTGCAATTCAAACTTTGTGATTGTGATGGCGGTTGTGAAGTTAGCAACAAACGTTAATATGCGCAGGTTTCAGTCAGTGACACCTCGCAAAGTGCAACCGGCACGCATCTAAATTCCGTTTACTGCGCCGCCTCTTGCGGTAACTTCATAGCCGCCATTGAGTTTAAATATTACTTTAACATCACCTGATTATTAATGTACCCACTGCTGGGGCACATGCCTTCTCTATGGATGGAATAGGAAGTCTGGGCGGTGCACACCAGCGGGCCTAGTGCGGATTTGTGGGTGCTACTACGACTGCAGAATCAGACGGGACCAACATACGAGCTGAGAGACATTTGAGAAATAAATTCCTATTTGATAAAACTATGGCTGTCACGTATTGCCAAATATTAATAGGGATAGGCTACGCTAGCCATCTAAAGTTACCGTAAGGGGTAGTAACCCCTTCATAAAAAAATAATTTATTAACTCCACAAAAAAGTTTGCGGCTGGCGCATTGAATATTTACTCTTCCGCTCCCCGCTTAGTATCATATTATGTTAAACTTTATAATATTATGTTAAACTTTATAAATTAAACAATTTATTTTTAGAGCATCACGTCTTTTATTTCACACTTATTACCATAGATTAACTCACATAGATTATATAACTATAATATAGACACAGATTATATTCAATAATGTCACATCTTCCTTTTTTATAATAAAACAAGTTTACAAATAACACTGCAATATGAATCATGATCATAACTTACATATTAATTTGATGTACTTATATTATGTACTAGGTCTACTTTACATGAATTGTAAAGAATGATTTATTTAAGATTAAATAAAAATTAACACCCAAGTCTTTAGGACTTAATAAAAATTAAATCCTAAAGTTAACTATTTTTTATTAACAATGTTTGTATGTATGACTATAATCAGCTAAATAAGCAGGAAGTTTTATGACTCTGCCTCTGCTGGACATGTTAGGATGAATAGTATCCTCATGATTATTGTTATTTAAATTGTAATCATTATTTTCGTTGACAGGATTGTATATTTTGTTATTTATTTGCTCTTTCTTATCTTCAATATTATTGGTATTTTCATCTGGAAACTCTAAATCGAAATTGCTACTTTCATTAGATATATAATTTTTTGGGCTAGTTTTTAAATGAATTCTATTTCTATAGGGCTAAACATACATGCATGTGATGAGCTATTAACAGTTACAAGTGACAACGACATACCAAACACATGTGAGTACCTAGAAACATGCAGTACTCATCCCAAGGACTGGAAATGTAATGTTGGTGGACATCCCATAGATTGTTTCCATTGTTTGAAAAGAGATTTTATCGTTAGAGCCAAAGGCAACCATAAGGTCCTAAAATCATTTGATCTGATAGAGGGGGAAAACTCTGTTAAAAAGGATCAGAAAAAAGCAAATATTGATGTAGAGGCAAATGAAATAATAGTGTTGATAATAGGAGTCATAGGGATGCTGGCATCCGTCTTCTTTATTTTGAGGATTTATAAAGGTGGATCTGTGAAACCGATTATTGTTTGTGTCATACTTTTTATAGTCTCATTGATAGCATTTGTAAACATGATTGTGGACATAATCCAATGAACTTGTCAACGGTGGAAGCATTGCAGTGTGTTTACTCCTGTTAGAGGTTTACTTGGGTTTACTGATTGTTTTTTAGAAAAAAAAAAAAAAAAATGTGTCTCTCCATTTTGTTTTTTCAAGAATTTAGGTATTGAGGATCTAGACATATACGTAAAGAATTATTTGGTTTTCTTACAAAATCCCGCATAGCCGAACCGTGGCGGCGCATATCCACACCCGGGCTCACATGGCCTAGGGGCACTAAATACCCCCTAAAACATTGTACCACACACCCTTGGGCAGGAGTCGTGTGCGTTATTTGGCAATTCCCGCCAAAGCCCCAAACATTACAATGAGTGCTGAAAAAGAGATCACAGTACCCCAGGAGGGTATCGCGACTAGCGAGGAATCCCTCACCAAGCCTAGCTTGGTCTGTCCCGCGTATTCTGGGGGGGACAACCAGCGCTCAGGGAAGGGCACAAGCCTGGACCTGTCTGGCCTAGCTGAGGCCATAACTTCAGCTACAACAAGCTCAACAAGCAACACAACACCCACACTCACACAGTGGACTGTGACCGCCCATAAGCGCCCCTGCAAAGGGAAGTCTGCTAATGTGGCGGCCACCCACAAACACGCAAACAAAGGTTCGCAGGGCCGAACAGAACGCAGTCGCCCCAACAGGCGCGCGAGAAG